AAAATTATTAATAAGAAAAAGTAAGTTAAAATAACCTTATATATTTTATATATATATTTATTTTATATAAATATTTAAATATTATACTTATTTATGCTTATATTAATTTAAACTTTCCTTTAATATATTATTTTTTATTTAATAAGTTATTTAATATATTAAAAGAAAGGTTTAATTAAAAAGTATAATAATAGCATTTTATTAATATTAACAGTATTTAAGTTATAAGTAACTTTATTAGTTTTATTATTAATTAAGATTATAAATTTCTTATTAATAAGTTAAATATCTTATTTAAATATAATATTTAAATATAATATTTATATTTTTATAATATTAAGGTTTAAAATATATCTTTATGATTTAAATTCTTAGCATTAATTATGATAATAATAAATTAAATATATTATTTAATTTTGCAAAGTATATTTTTAATAAGGAATTGAAAGAATATTAAGTTAAAATTATATAAGTTTATATCTTAATATAATATTTAAATATAAGATTAATATATTTTAAAGTAAATTATTAAGATTATTATATAGCCTTATAATGGCTTTATTTAATATTATTAATTTTACTTAATATATTTAAACTTATTAATATATATAAGGTATGTATTATTTAAAAGTTTTAATAATATAAATAATACTTATTTTATTAAATTTTGCTTAAACCTTTAATAATAAGCTAAGTATAAAGCAAAGTTTATTAAAATGGGTTAAGTAAAAGGAATGTTTAACTATTTATTATAATTTTAATAAATATAATTCCAAAATCTTATTTAATAATTAGGATAAAATATTATTATTATTAAATTTAGCTAAGGTTTAATATTAATAAAGCTATTTAATTAATGGTAAATATAATTTACTTTTAAGGGTTATTATTAAGTAAGTTATTTAATTACTTATATATATTTATTTATATTAACTTATTTTTATTATAAGTTTATGAATATAAGATAAAGATAATTTTAAATCTCTTTTTATTATAAAAAAGTATAACCTTAAATTTAACTCTTAAAATATAATTATGCTAAGCTTTAAATATAAGCAATAAGCAACTTATACTTATAAGTAATTTTATTCTTTTATTTAATTATATTTATATTAATAACTATATAAAGTTAAAATATTATAAATATGCTTTTTTAAATTTTATTAAATTAAGTTAATAAGAGGAATTAATACTTTTAAATAATGTTATTACCTTTCTTAAGATAAGTTAGCATATTACTAGCTTAAAGATAATATAAAAGTTAACTTAAAAATAGTAATAATTAATATCTTATTTATATATTAATTTAAATTATTATTATTTAAACTTTAATATATTAATAAAAATAAAACTATTAAATAATAAAAGTATATATAATCTTTTATTTTTAATATATTTAAGGAAGAAGGAAATTATATTATAGTTTTAGGCTTTTTTAATTTACTTATACCTTCCTTCCTTCTTTTTATATCCTTTTTATTAATATTAGCTTATTTTAGCTTATCTTAAGTTTTATTAAATATTCTTTTAATTAAGAAGCAAAAGAAATTAAAGATTTAGAAAATAAAGCTAGAAATAAAGATATTAGCAAAGTTAAGTAAAAAGGCTAAAGAAAAGAAAAAAGTTTAGGAAGAAGAATAAAAGCTAAAGCAGTTATAAAGAATAGCGTTAAAGAAAAACTTAAGATTATTTTTTAATTTAAATAATAATTTAAAATAATTTAACCTTTATTAATTTTAAATAAAAAACCTTTATTTTTAAAATATTTAAATATAGTATTTAAATATAGTATTTAAATATAGTATTTAAATATAGTATTTAAATATAATATTTAAATATAATATTAATATTATATAAAACTTAATAAAAGTAATTTAATTTAGAATTTATATTTTTATAATATTTAAATATAATATTTAAATATTCTATTAATATTATTTAAATATTAATAAGAATGGTTTAATCTTTATTAATTTTAAATAAGGAATTTAAATTATTATAATATTTAAATATTATATTTAAATATATAATACTTAAATAATCTTAAATATTAATGTAATTAAAAGGTAAATTTAATAATATATATATATATATAATTATATTAATATTTACTTTAATTATATAGTTTATTATATTATTAATTGTATTACTATTAATTATTTTTATAATATAATTAAACTTTTTTTTTTTATTTTATACCTTTAAGCTATAATTTAATTTATTTATTATCTTAATATAAGTTTATTATTTTAATTATTTAATTATTTATTAAGTTTAAGATTACTTATTATAAAAGCCTTTTAATTAGCTTTAAAGTAATTAAAAGTATATAAATTAATTATATTTATATAAATTATATTTAAATATATTTTATATAAATATTCTTTTTTAAGTTTTATTAAGTTTAATTAATAAAAAGAATTAATATTTTTAAATAATAATTTTACCTTAAGGATAATATAAAGTTAACTTAAAAGTAATAATAATTAAAACTTTATTTATATATTAATTTATATTATTATTATTTAAACTTTAATATATTAATAAGAATTAAAATATATTAAATTAATAAAAGTATATATAATTTTTTATCCTTAATACCTTTAAGGAAAAAAGAAATTATATTATAATTTTAAGTTCTTTTAATTTATTAATACTTTCCTCCTCTTTTATTATACCCTTTTTATTAATATTAACTTATTTTAGCTTATTTTAAATCTTATTAAATATTTATTTAATTAAAAAGTAAAAGGAATTAAAGATTTAAAAATAAAGCTAAAGATAAAAATATTAATAAAGTTAAGTTAAAAAATTAAAAAAGAAAGAAAAGTTTAAAAAGCAAAATAAAAGCTAAAATAATTATAAAATATAGCGTTAAAAGGGAATTTAGGATTATCTTTTAATTTAAATAATAATTAAAAATAATATTAACTTAAAATAATAATAAAGAATAATATTAAAAATAAATATAAAATTATTATAAGGTTATAATAATAATTTAAAATAATATTAAATATAAAATAAAATATAATAAATATAAATTAAATTTAAAAATATAAATTATTTTTAAGATTTTAATTAAAGTTATAATAATTTTAATATATTTAAATATATATATAAATATTTATATTTATATATAAATAATAAATAATAATTAAAAAGATTAAAGAATTAAAAGATTAAATAATTAAAAAAATAAATAATTAAAAGATTAAATAATATAAGTATATAATATATAGCTCTTAATAATATATAAATATAAAGTTTTTATTAAAATTTAATATAATAAATTATTAATATTATAATATTTAAATATAATTTTAAAAAAAGCTTTTATATTATTTAATAAGTAATTTATTAAAAATTAAGTTTTATTAAAATAATTAATTTTAATATATATATAATTATAAAGAATATATTATATGTTATATATTATATATTATATACTTTTTATATTTTAATAATTTTAAATTTAAGAAGAATTATTATAAAATATTAATAATTCTTTTTTTAAAAAAGAAAAAGAATTTTACTTTTTAAGCTATATTTATAAAAAAGTTAATTTTAATATATTTATTTAAAATTAACTTAATAAATAACTTAATGTAAGTAGTAATTAATAATACTTATATTTTTAAGGCTTTAAGTTTAACTTATTAATAAATAAATTTAAAAAAAAAGAATTTTAAAATATTACTTAAACTTAAGATTATTAAGTATATTAATTTTAATTTAATTAAAAATAACTTAGTTATTTAAAAATATAAGATTAATATAAATAATATAATTATTATTAAATATATTATAAATAATATAATTAATATAATTAATAAGAAATATATAAGTATAATTTTAATTTATTAATAATATAATTTTAATAAAAAATAAAAGGCTATCTTTAAAAAGCTTGCTAAGATAAATAGCAATAATATTTATATTTATATTAATATTTACGGTATAAATTTAAATAATAAGTTAAATTTAATATTAAAGGATTTAAATTACTTAATTAAAGTTTTAATTCTATTTTATGAAATTAAGGTTAATAAGAAGTGTAATGATTGCAAGAAGTATAAGCTGGAAAATGCTTTCTTTAAGGGATGCTTTATAATTTTTAGCATAAAGGAGTTAGGCTGCTTAAGATGCTATGCGGCTCTTAATAACTATAGTAAGAATTAAGATAATGCTAAAATAAATTTATTAATATAAATTAAAAATTAATATTAATAATTTAATAATAATTCTTTTTTTAATATTTAAATATAAAATGAGGTTAGTTAATATTTAAATATAAAATAAGGTTAGTTAATATTTAAATATTATATTTAGATGTTAAGTAAGGTATAGGGATTAAGGTTACTTGACCACGTCCTACATTAAGACAACAATTACGTCTCCATCCCTCGCATGAAGCGGAAATTGCCAACTCCAGAACCTAACTTTAGTTATTGGCTCGTCATCATCACTACCAGTTCCGATTTGGTTAAGCGCCGTTTGCTGTTCACCAGGCTCGTTTCGTTCGCCACCAGTTTCTGTGTCGTCCAAATTTGCTCCATCTCCGGCTGCAGGCTGCTCATCAGGGTGGCCTTGACACAAGGCCCTGACTGGCTTCTCAAATTTATCATCACATGTTTCAAATTCTTTGCCAAGAGGGCACGGGAGTGCCACCCAAGCCCGTGAGGGGTGCGCCTCGGAGTCGGCAACAAGGTGGCCCAATGCCTTCCCACGCATCACAAGCGTGTCAGGCTCCGTCACATCCTGGTCGGCCCACCGCCGGGATTTTCGCGCAGATATTCGGGATTTCTGCGAGCTGCCGCCTTCCAAGAGGTAATGGAACAAATGAACCCGGTTGAACTCAAGTAATCTGAGCCAGCTAGGGGCCGGTGAGTGAGCTGAGCACATGGAGAAAAGAATGGACTTTGTTTCCTGGTCCTCCGGTCCATAGTCTTTATTGGACACGGAGAGCGAGGACAACCGCTCAATAGCCACGTAAAAGTGTCTCATCTCGTCATGCGTATCTTCAACGCACGTAGCACTGCGGCCCGGAGACCGACAGAGTAGTCCACCGGGAGCTGTTGCGGAGAACTGGCTATTCTTTTATTATGTGTCAGGCCCCACGAAGCGCTTGAGATGGCGTCCGCCATCGCTGTAAGCGAGAACACCCGGTCGACGGCAATCGAAACATCGAAGCCCCGGGCCATAGTCCCCACGAGAAACACGAGCAGGAGCTCCGTCTGTGTACGCCGTGATTTGATGCGGCCAGCAGGGTCGTTTACGAGCAGCCGCAGTTCGTGAAGGACTTCGGTAAAGGGCAATGAGTATCTGAAGGAGGCTGGCCCGTCGTCCCATATGTGAGAGCCAAACATTTCGGAAACGGAAGCATAACGAGGTCGCTCCCTAAGGCGCTCCAAGACGCTCGGGTCCTCCTTACCTGCCAGAAGGACAGAACGGGTGTTCCAAAGCATTCTTCCAACGTCCGGGATCACATGGAAGAACGCGTCGTACGATGTAACCGACCGACCACATTGGAACTTGACATTGGCTGCGGCCGCAATCTCCTGGATAATCCAGGTCCGTCTTATCCAAGCGCGTCCCAAGATGTCAGCAATCCCATCCAAGGCCATAGATACGAGCCCCAAGGTGTCGGCGCCGGCCCTTTCGTCGTCCAATGGTTCGTTGTCTCGAAGGTCGTTGAGGAATTCGTCCACGTATATGTTTGTATGAATATCATAATATGCCTTCTGCATTAAAACGTTTCTCACTCCTTGAGAAAATGCGCGTCCTATCGTCCTGCCAAATCATGTCGTAAACGTTGAGGATGTCGGCACCCAACCAGGTGCCCGGGCCAGCAGGGCCGAGCCACACAAGGACGGTGCTTGCTTTCCGATAGATGTGGAACATGTTGCGGACTTGGCGTGCTTTTTCAGCCTCGTCGTACTGGTTTATACATAAAGCATCGATCCAGCTACTATTGTCAGAAGTCCACTGGTGACTGGGCAGGCAAAGTCGTGGGTGCTATCTGGTGCGTGCAAATAGAGAGCACGGTTCACAGGGGAAGGCAGCTGTTTACTTACAGCCAACGATGGCCATGAGAGCTCCGCAGGTGCACGAGAGCCGCATGCAGGTTGGCCGTGACGCTGAAGTCGAGGCCGTTGCACCGGATGGCATGGCTGAAGACGGGCGAGTCCGACGTGTACGAGAGTGCCTCGTAGAGAATCACGTCGCCCGAATCCACGAGGCCCAAGCCCTCCAGGTGCGGTATGGCGGCGGTTTCCAGGTGCACCTCAACTATGTCTTCTTGATCGTGCTCGTCATTGACAGGTTCCAAGCGGAGAGCCCGGGTTTCCCATGGCCTGAGGGGCTTGCTGTAGATGATGGAGGCTGTAAGACGCCTTTGTGATTCAGAGAGGCTTGGTACAGACATACTTGTTTCTGTCAGGGTTAAGCAATACTTGGTCTGTAGTAACTGAGAGCGGATAATTAAGTGCGAAGAGCTTGATGAACTATTGCAATGTCTTCTTACCCGCTCCTCAGCTTCAAACTTTTCCACGTTAGGCGCCACGTCACGAATTTGAGAGTGGATTGGCTCTGTGTGAGGCGAGCTCCACAAGTCATACCAACCTCCGAAAGAATAGCTTGCCATGAGTTGGACGGACAGTCTACAATGTTCTATTTAACATAATTTATCAACCCTAGACACTTGTTGTTATAAAATCAATAGCACAGTGTTCCAAAATGGCTATTCAAGGATTGCAGGTAATTTTACGGTGGTTCCCTCAGGCCGTGGGAGGAAGTCCTAGTTCAAGCAGACTACGGGACTCTGTTGTAGCCCAAGGCATCATCATTGACTTCGGTATCCCCGATGGCAGCGGAAATCCTCAGTTGACCAAATGCCGCCGAGAATTACAATCCACACCAGAGCTATTCAACTTGTCACTTCTATAAGCACCAGGCAGAGGACGCATTGGTCAAACGTGAGTATTAAGCAGCAATAACAAGAAATGCGCGTGTACAAAACTTCTGAAGAAGACCCCAAAACAGCGACTCATTTCGTCAGACACCTCCTGCAGGAGCCTCCCATCCGTACATCAACATCGCTTGAAGCATACTATCCATTGCTCGCTAACTTTGGGGCTCAACCAAAGGAGGGGGAGAGGCCTTGGCAGTCGGCTGGTCGGCTGGACAAAAAGGGACTCCCTAGGAGATCTTTGAACTCTCTGAGGGGTCTGATTATCTATCACGTAGGCAGATTTTCAAACGCTTCTGCCCGGTAGAGCCACTGAAACCACTTATAGAAATGACCACTAGTCAAAGATCGTCAGCAACTAGGCCTGGCCGGTGGCCAGACACACAGGACACAGTACGGAGGCATGACGTCACATCAGAGCACTATTCGTTCATAAATAGATCGATCGAAGATGATAGTTTATCGTGTTTGGTATTTTGTACATGGTAAATGTTTCTGAAGCTCAAACGGTAAGACACGGTGTGGGCGCCGAGGGGTGGGTGTAGCAGTGTATCCGTGATAGGTCCGGGCTTTCCTGTGCAAGATGGTTATTGACAGCAAGACATCAGAATCTGGAAACCAGATACTGTGACCGCAAGAGGGAAAACCTGTCTCTTATGGTGCACTTGGCAGTCGGAAGCATTCTAGATAGCTGTCACGTGAATGAATATGTTCCAATCCCATCAGCAAGGTCTTCAGTCAAGCTGATCTTGCTGACCTCAATATCGAAAGCTGTGTCCTTTTCTTTCCATTTTTTTCTTTCAATGTAACGATCCCAAAATTATGTGTGATGAATTTGCGTCCGAGGTCCAGAAGCCGCGGATATCTTCCCGTCGACTCCGACCGCGGATCTTCGATACTCGAAAGGTCCATGCTGTGTCCGACGCGAAACTTTATTGACCTCACAGCACTAGGGCCACCCGGACAGGTCCTGGAGAACAAATTCCTAGCTCGACTGCCTTACTTGTGCAAAATAAGACGTTCGAAAACGGCGAGAAGCATGTGAATAAAAGAGCCTCACTCGAGGTAATGTCCAAGGCGAATTCCTTGCATCGATCTGATAGACCGACGCTGGAATTATCGATACCAGGTCTTGAACGTCACGCTTTTGTAAGCCTGGAGGATGTTTCGAGCACCCGTATTGGATCAGAGTAAATATTCTTCCGCCTGATACACAGTACCACGGCAACCAAGTATCAGGGTGGCATCGGCAGGATCGAGGTCGCAATTGGGACGGGACTAGAAACCTGAATGGCTTGTAAGTGGCGTGGTCAACAAGTTGCCTATGAATCATGATGAGTCGTGCTGTGCATTGAGGGACCCAACTCTCCAGCTTGTGTCGACGAGCAAGCATGCCCTCCATCCATACTGAAAAGCAAAGAAAGGTCGAACCTTGCTAGGGGAGGCGATAAATGTCGTTGTGCGCAATGACTCGAGCGGTTGAGAGCCGTCATGGGTCCCTTTAGAAGTGGTGCCTGGCACAAACATGAGTTGGCACGCTGGAACATAGCAAAGAAGTAGATGGCCAGGGCACCGAGCCGGTAGCAATCTGATGCTCTGAGAGCAAGTGTAAGCCATGCTAGCCCATTCCTTCGGTATAATGTGGTGGACTTCCCGTGATGTCCTTCATAACGGCCTGATGTTGCGAGGGCAAGTGGAGAATAAAGGAGGTTGTGTTCTACTGGAAACTTCACAAGCCACTGAGGGACGCACATCCGGGAAGTGCGCGAGGGGCGAGTGGATTTGCTGGGCGGGGGATTTTGTTCCAGTGGAGACGAAGGTATGCTGCTTGAGCGCAAGCATTTCCCCCTTGCTGTTGGTTGATACTATTATGGCTATGACGAGGAGGCAGACAGACCTGGTGGTACATGCGACTTCCAATCACGCACCCTGTTGTACTAGTGAGCTAGCCCATATTTCCGGTGAGTGAGAACGGCTCGATGCCATCGGCGGCTCGTCATTGCAGTCTCCCCAACACCATTTGGACCCTTGATGTCGCTGCTACCGGGGACGGTCGGGACACTCGGGAAGGAACAAAAATGTCAGGGGTTTCGACAGTCTACCCGACGGGGTACGACATGAAGCACGCATCGATGCAGAGCCATTACCCACCTCGTCATCGCCGTCAGATGTCGATATGAGCTTACCCCCAAGACGCCAGAGTGACGTCTTGCTTGCAGAAAGTCTCATCTGGCTGTGCAGATACGAAAATAAGCGCAGAAAGCATGTCAACACGTTTGGTAGATTCATTCGGGAGGTTTGCGAACATGTCGAAATGGCGTCATGCTGGCTTCTTCCGTCAGCCTCCGTTGTTAAACAGAATCCCAAAGCAAGCAGCGAAGTCAAGGGGTTGACCGCCTGTGCGAATTACATCAGTCTCGATAGATGACGTCCGCACAAAGATTCCCTCCACATGTTAGACGACGAAGGCAAGTGATACAAATTATCGACAGTCTTGAAGCACGGCCTTGACGACATATCCATCAAAGGGCTGTCGACGGGACATTCTAGGACTGATAGAATAAAGAATCCATGTAGACCCGCGGCGAAATCGGTCACTCGGCGAAGGGTTTCATCGCGGAGGCGGATCACAGGCCGGAAGGCCAGATACGACGCCAAGACTGTGGAAACTCGTCTCAGTGGCGAATTATATCAGTGATAGACTGGGCTTTACTGGTTTCTATTGAGATGCCCATGTGTCGACAACGCTTTGCTTGTGTCTCAGACAGGTGCCCCGGCAACGAAATCATCACATGGCGTCTGCCTACTCCGCGTGGGGGAGTTTCAGGTCAGATATCCCAACGCGGGCCGTGTGTGTGTTGTGGAAAACCACTGGCCAGGCTGCGATCTTGGGATCGAAATTTCTTAGTCGAAATCGGAGCAAGGAGTGAACGTCATCACGTGTGCCGGCTGGAATGCTCCAGCCTTGCAGTAGGGAAGAGGTCAAAGGACGTTGCTAGGGCTGTAGGTGTCGAATGACGACGGTCGACGGGCAGCGAAGGACTGGGGACAGGGGGGGTGCAGTAGCGTGTGGATGAGGTTTGTCAACGGGCTGGGCCGTGAGTCATATCCGCTGGCTGGCTGTAGAAAGGATAGTCCTCCTGATAATGTGGTGCTGATTGACTTGTTGAGTAGAGCAGGTACATTTCCGTACTGGCGTATAATGGATGTGCTGTATGTATGTTCTGCGCAGGAGACTACTGGGCAGGGACCAGGCACGCCCAAGCCCGAGTCCATGTCATGGCACGAAGAAGCATGCCTGTCGGACTGTAAGGAAGCAGCCCTGGACCCTTTGCGCGTCTGTGGCGTGTCAGCCCGGATCCGAAAGGAGGAAGACGTCGTGCCAGAGCAGCAGAATTTGCTGCACGGTTCAGACAGTGGACGGTGTGAGTGTGTGGACGGTACATAGACATACGTCCCCTCGGCCGTGTTGACGGGCAGGATGATCTCACCTTACGCGCCAGCGCGCATCGAGGCCCAGCACCGTCTGCAGGTGCAGTGTGCAGATGCTTTGTGTGTGGCGAGCGACGTCAAAGGTGCGGATCTGGCGTTGTGGTGGGCTGGTAGATTAGAATTGTCGAAACGCGCGAGACGTCAACCCTGACGTCGAGTAGGCAGGCAGATCAGCAATAGGCACAAAACTGCATGGAGTCGAGTGGTACGGAGGATTGAGGCGGAAAAAAAAAGAGCTGGGGTCCCTGAAAGAAGGACCCTGAATGCAGCGGAGCAGGCACATGCTTCCGGGCCCCCCCTTGGCTCCTTGGGCCTAGACTGCCGTGGACCCCTGACAGCTTCCACCACACCTTGCCATGCCTCCAGTGCTAGCAGCATCCGGTGGTATTACTGGCCACCCCCCGGACGGCTGACCTAATACCCGTTTCCGTTTCCGTGCCGATGACGTAGCTGCCAGCTGCGACGGGGTGGCACGCCTTCCGTCACTTCTGACCTCACTCGTGCAAAGTCGGCTTCCTCCTGGTGGTGACCACCGCCCAGCAATGTCGGACCACTGTCGTCAATTCCCGCCTCCTCTTTCGCCTCAGCCGCCCAGCACCAGCACCCGTGCTGTACAGGCAACATGTGCCGAAGTACCTGCAGGGCTGTATCGCCCAGCTCGAGACAGGGAGAAAGGGCAGGCGGATAGTGCCAAGGGTCTCCCAGACCAACTCATCTGGTTCCTGACCGACTGGGTGCGCCAGCAGCAACGGTGATAGCTTCGCAGTTCCACAGTGCCTCGCGTCAACAGCCGAGTCACGGGTTGATGTGTGCTCCGAATTGCCATCAGGGGGGATAACACGCTCGGGGCATGGCCGCGCAAGGCCTCTCCATGCATGTGGGATCCAACACCTGCCAACTCGTGCCAACTTTGCTGTTGCGTCTGGTCATGGACAGACACCACCCCCAGTCCCCAGACATTGCCCACCCGGCTGCCCAGCTGCCCAGCTGCTCCTCTACACCACAGCTGACACATGCTGCACAGGCCGTGATCAGCCTTGCTACAGCCAGTGACCTTCTTGCCGTGGCCCACCCTCGCTCTGGGGAAACCCTGGAATACCTGCAGTCCATGTATCGAGTACGCCGGTCCAGCGCGCCAGGCCGTCCTCCGTCCCTCTCGCCAGCCAATGACATCATGTGGAAGCGAGACTTGGGGCGGAAAGGCTGTGTAGATCTCAAGGCATCCTACCCAGGCATCCTGGCGGGCCTGCCACGCAGTGGTCGTGCGCCAGGTCATTGTCTCGCACAGTCCAGGCCGTCCCAAACACACACCTGAGGACGCCTGGCTGCTGTACTCACAATACTCTTGGTGTTTCGTTTGCCATTTACGGGCTAACCTGCTCCGTCCGGCAAGTGCCTTTGATGCCCTCCTGATCTGCGCTGCGTCTGACGACATTCGTCCAGATATTCCTCTCGGACGGGCTGCGGCGAGCTGTGGCCAATCTGTGGCCAACGGGCTCTGATGTAGCCCATGACTTCAGTGCCGTCGCCGATCTGCAGGGTCTTCCACACCCACGCTCTCGCCGTCATGTACATCAGACCCTCCGTGATCCTAGCGTCGCCTGTGAGGTTCGGCAGGACCATGCAGGGCGCATCATCGTCCACCACTCCCGAGCCGCGCCTGGTCTGCGGCTACATCACCCAGCCCTGCAAGTGGCGACGATCGCTGTGGGCCCTCACTCGCACACATGCTAGGTTACGACATTCTGTGCAGCCATGCGTTAGACAGTCTGACCAAACATGGCACCCACAGATGTCGATCCCACTCCCAGAACGCTGCAGGAGGGGCTGGGGGCGTGGAGGTAGCAACGCTCACATCTCCAGTCTTTCTCCTCTGTTCCTAGTGGGCTAGTCTGATGAGGGTCTGGAGACGAAGAAGGGTCCTGGTCAAGGCAGCCCAAACGGCTGCCCGAGCCTTTCTTCGCCTTGCTTCTCGCCCAAATAAGCTTCCGCATGCCTAGTTTTATATAAACTGGATTCATCCCAGGGACTCCTTCTCTTCCCAAACTTTATCTCTACCTCCATCAGGATTCCTATTCAATATAACAAAGATTGCCCACCCAGCTTTTCCCCTACTCCTTTGCGCTCACTCCAGATCTCGAGCCTATCTACTGCCACGAAGCCAAGAAGCCAAACTTGTCTCGTCACCTCCTACACGTCACGCTTCTACACCATCACCTACATTTACAACAACGCATATGCCTCTCCTCAGAATGTCGTCCCAAGAAGACTCCTTTTCCGTCAACATGGCGAACTCCCCACCACCACCCACTGATATTGGGTCGTATTCCCGCACAATGCTCCAGCACACAAAGAGACAAATGGAGGCCTTCTCTGGCACATCCGACCGACGGAGCCGCAGCAACGGATCGCGGAACAGTGGCCAACGCAGCGCAGGCACACCATCAATGCCGAATGGTGTGCACCAAGCATCGAGTTCTCCCGACGACTATCACCACACATGATTTGTGCCAGCGAGGAAGTCGTCAGACTTCAGTTTTAAGACCAAATTTAAACGCCACGCCCAGCGAAAAAGCGCTGAGCGATGTGGAAAAAAGCGTTGGCAGGCAACACAACGCACATCCGGCAGGGAAATAGGCCACTCCGACATGGGAAAGCAAACGAATATCCCCTACACACCACACTGGCACAACTTATGTGCTGGAATTCCCCAGCTCGATCTTGTCCGTCCACAAGAAAACATGCAACGGCCATTTAAACCTGTACCATCATCATTACGAACACGGCCAGATCAGGCACATGTCAGCCTGAACGGCAGTGTAGTTATACACGCAGATTTGGGCGGCGACCCACGAGCATTACCAGGAGCGAAGAAGGGTCTGACGCCGCCGCGGGGGCGGATTTATTTGTATCAGCGCCTGCGATTCAGCGCGAAAACTTTGAACAGCGTTGAAAACCAATACCATATCAGTTTATACAGCATAACAATTGTTTTCCGAATGTGCTTTACTTTGTCGTTTGCCCATTTTCATGTGACACTACGATCGATCTGATATCCACTTCCAGTGAACTTGTCCAACCCACACACACTTTCCAAGCTGCAAGCTTGTAGGCTGTCAAGGCGACAGGCCCTCTGCCAACATTTGCCCGGTATCCAGTGCGTGCGAGTAGGCCCTATGGTCCAGTTTCCACGGTGCGTCATTGATCAATACAATGACCCCACCCCCATCACATTCCGTTCACTTTCTCAGCCGGGGTCACTGTCACGGCCGCAGTCCTTGCCAAGAAGCATGTCTAGCTCAGCATAGAGACCTGCTTTTCGAGATTGGTGGTGTGTACACCCAGCCGTGGGCTCGCCAGAAAACCCCCGTGATCCGCAGCCATGATTTCCATTTCGACCCGTTAGGCCCGTCCGCCCGGTTTTCCTGTCTGTCTGTGCCAGCGTGGGCGGCCACCCACTCTCCTGCCCCGTACTGGCAGCCCTGGATGAGCCTCCTCAGAGGCTAGATCCGGGAGTTATGGGGAAAACCCCCTCCCCAGGATGCCGTGGTTGGACGGTGGCCGCTTTGTTCGGTGAGTGCTCGCCCGGGTAAAGGAGCAGCAACCACCCGCACCACGCAGATTGACAACCTGCTGCCGAGGGCGGAAACGCCCGGCCGTGCAGGATGTAGGAAGTGCGTACAGTTCTCCCTCCAAAAACCTTGCCAGGCGGAGGGACCAGTGCGGCCGCCGGTCCTCAGACACTGCTACACCGGCCGCTCGAGCTTTCCCGTTATTTAATGCGGAGTATCACGTCGTAATGTGTCTCACGGTTAACCAAGTAATCAAAAAATTCCCCTTGCCCGGACCACATTTTGTGTCTGATTCTCGCATTTCGTGTCTACCTCCGGACACCGCGCGGCCGTCGCTCGTCAGCTTTTCTTGGAACATCGTGGCCATCACCAAGGAACTGTGTGCCCCTCCAGCCCTTCCCCCTCCCCCCAAACGGGGACTGGGAACTGGCGTGTAGGTGCCTGACTGGGCAGTAACACCCCTGAGCCCGAGGGAGGATATACCCGCCCCCCTCCACCGGAGGGAACGCCCTCGCCTTGATTGCACACTCTCGCCCCGGCGTAGCAGCACATATGGGGTGACAGTCGACTGTGCGTATGCACACTCTTGACTCGGGGGTCCTACTGTAGTGCCATGGCCGTCGCGCCCACGCCCCAAAGCCTGTTCTTGCTGGATCCACCCAATCTCCACGGGTGGGTTTGTTGTCGTGGGGATTGCCAGACGGTTTGACGGGTTAGCTGAGCCCAGCTGGCTGGCGCGCTGTGGGTGTGCTACGTGTTTATCACTCTTAATTTTGACCCCCCAGCACGCGTGGCGAATAGGCCTTGCTGATAGTAGCTGATCTGACGGACGGACTGAAAGGCGACCGGATACCGCATATCGACGGATACCACCGGGCCTGTTCCGTATGGAAAATCGACATTATTGAACCATTTTGGGTATCGTAGCTTTTGACTCCTAGACGCCGTAACAAACACATGCTTAATCACTGTCCGATCCATAATCAACTAGAACCGCCTTGGCCTTGGCTGCTGCCGGCGCCGGCGCCGTCTTCGCGGCAGGTATAGGAGGGGGCCCCATCTTGAGGCCCGGGATGAGGACCTGCTCCTTCTTCTTGGCCTGCCGCTTGAAGCTGAAGGAAGCCGAGGTATCCTCCTCGGACGCCTTCCTCTTGACTCCGTTCCCGTTGCCGTTGCTGCCCGAGTGGGAGTCCCCAGCGGCCGGGTCCTCCTCCTCCACCACCTCCCAGGTCTCCTGCTGCGCCTTGGCGGCCGCGATGGCCTTCCTGTAGGCCTCCTCGTCCTCCTCGTCCTCCCGGCGCCTCAGGTCGTCGTCCGGCCTGGCGAGGTTGGCGTCCCCGAGCATTCCGTCGTGGTTGGCGCGCTCCATCCTCGCGTTGCGCGTCCTTATCTCGTCCAGGGCGTCGGCGACGGCCATGTCCCGCTTGGCGTCGATGGTCTTGGCCTCGAGCTCCTCCATGGCGTTGCGCTCCTCCTCCTCCTGTTCGAGCCGGTCCAGGCGCTGCTCGTCCGTCTCGGCCTCATCTCCGACCTTGCGCCAGGGCTCCGTGTTCCGCTTGGCGCCCCGCTCGCACGTGTAGTCCTGGTTCTTGGGGTCGGTCTTGAAGGTGATCTCGGAGCTGCACCGCGTGCAGCGGATGTAAAAGCGGAAGATCTGGATGCCGAGGTACTTCTCGGACTCGGGCGTCTCCTTGCGCGCGTTGAACTTGCGGCCCTTGTAGATGTACTCGCCGCAGCTGGTGCACTTCATGCTGAAGGGGGCCATGAGACGGACGGTTTGGACCTTGGGGCCGACCTGCTTCGGGCCCTTCTTCTTGGTCAACTGCGCCGGGTCGAAGTCGGGAGGGTAGTATTTCGCTGTAGAACTTGTTAGTCGGCTCTGCTCATGACGAGGAACAAGTCGCAGAAGTCCAGGCTCCCGAGGCTCGCGAGGCGCCTGCCTAGGCGTAAAGGCGAGGATGCAAGTGAGGAATCAAGCTGTACTTACTGAGGACTTTGCGTTCAGACATCTTGGATCACGTAAACGAGTGGTATGTGAGGTTGATAGTTCATTCAAATCAGATCGTGGTGGAAAGAGCACAGGCTATCAGCATGTGGTGCTGATGCCAGCTCTGGCTAAATTTCCGAAATCTGAGAACCTTGTAAGGAAGTTGAATGGAATGACTAACCTAATTAGGTAGTTACTAATCCCAAATGATGGTTTAGGCAAGCTGTTGCCTTGTCAAGATTAGATAAGCCTTTCGGACGGGATACCAGTGAAAGCTCTTGAAAAATATGTCCTGAATTTGGTGACGAAAATCCACCTGGGGGGAGTGAAACTTTTCTGAAATGTAAATTCCACCACCCTTGGATCACTGGCTGGTGTGGTCGAGCAATCCGCCTCCTCGGGTATTAGGTAATCAGCCGTTTTCACTATCCTGCATCCTTCGAGCTTGCACTTCAAAAGGTACCGGCTTGACAGGTTTCTGAAAACTCGTCGGCGTCCTTTTTCGGCCTATTCTCATGCTATTCTCGTACATGAGTGTTCAATATTCATGCGCTCTACTCAGAATCCTTTTGGTCACCAGCAGGCAGTTGCTGAGATGGACATCTGCTGTGAATGCGCCTAGACAGAAGTACCCAGGCACCCTCCATGCCCCGGCAAAGCGGTGAGGACCCTGACCATTCTGCCGGACGACTCGCAACTTTTTCTTGGGCGCGAGCCGACGCGCTTCTGTCAGGCTCTCTTCTCCTTTCTTCTTCAACGTGCGACCACTCACTCATATAACCGCCAGCATAGCAATCTCTTCCTCTGTACTGGCAAATTCGAGCTGTGGTCTAGATCAAACAAGCTAGACTTGAAAATAGTGCCCTAAAACCGTCATTATGAGGGCCCCTATATGCGTGGCATCCCAGGATCTGATGACGACCTGACGGTACAGACATTCCATTCCTTTCCATTCCAATAAAAGTCGATACTAGAGTCTGCATGACCCGGTACTTTGTTACGTGCCGGGTTGTCACATGCAGGGCCAGGTGAAGCGTAAGTGCATCTTATCATGTTCATCCCTTTACACCTCCTGCTGTGATGCAATATCAATCATCTGGTAAGCTGAAAGCTCAGCCTGTGTGTCTGCGGCATCCGCTAGGAGTTGTGGCATGTCGTGGTTGAGCTGGAAGAAAAGAGATAATGGCATTTTATTTGTCTGAGCAGCGCTGTATGATTCAGCTTGATGAGCCCTGCTTCGTTTGCGGTAGCGACGCTGACTGTTGGCAGCACACCCCTCGGGCCGCTTCTGCTGCCAGCTGCGATGGAGCGAGCAATGGAGATCTGAAGACCACGGCCCGGATCGCCTTGCCGACTGTGGATGTAACTCTACTTTTGGCTCTATCAAACCTTGTATCGCGACGCCTGCGCACACGATAGAATTGTACACAGTAGCTAGCCGTGGACTCTCTTGGGGCGTATGCCAGTGGAATAGTCTACTTGGCCTGGTATCTGGCTGCCGGTCTCTACGCGACAGCGCCATAAGTAAAATGAAGGTCAGCGGGTCTGCCGATTTCGCCCAAGGATCAGTAACGTGCATCCTCTCAGAGAGAGATTATTTGCAAGCATCGCAGCTCGTCCTGCTCTAACGGCCGGCAAATCCTCGAGATAATGAGTATCCTGATACCAGAGTCTCATCCGGCGGCTCTATGATAATCCCCTGGGCCAGGTTTGACTTTGTCCAGGTGGAGGGGACCCCCCACTTGGTGACGGCGGGGCGGGAGCGCGATAGCCAACAATCAGATCTTTGCCAGAACAAGCCATTGAGACGTCACGCCTTCCCTCCTTTATTCAAAAATTTGTCGTGCTTGCTTGATAACTCCCCTCCACTCGCTCAATTGGCCCCTCGCTGTCGCATCGTACCTTGTGCTAGGTTGTCGCGCAGGCTAGAGAAACCGCACGTGGCTGTTTGACTGCCGACAACGGAGCGACCGACGCGTTCCCCCACGTACTGCTGTACTTGCGTCGACGTGAGACATCGTCGTTGTTCTTGTTGTCCAGTCTCTCTGCGCATTTCGCTCGCTGCAGCTGCCCGGGAACCACATCGCCGTCGTCATGGACAAGATCACCGACAAGATCGCGGCTCTGCCGCCCGATGCCAACTACTTCTCCCTCGAGTTCTTCCCTCCCAAGACCCAGATGGGCTTTGCCAACCTGCGATCCCGTCTGGAGCGCATGGCCCGGGCCCTGAAACCGACCTTCGTCAACGTCACATGGGGCGCTGGTGGCTCGACGGCGCAGAAGTCCATGGAGCTGGCCGAGATCTGCCAGCGCGAGCTGGGCCTGACAACCTGCCTGCATCTGACGTGTACCAACATGAGCCGGCGACTCATCGACAAGGCCTTGGAGGATGCGAAGGTATTGGGCATAAGAAACATACTGGCGTTAAGAGGTGATCCGCCACGCAAAGAGGAGTACCGGGATGAGAACGAAGATGACGACGAGGGGGATGACGAGTTCACGTGGGCGGTGGACTTGGTGCGCTATATACGGACGAACCACGGCGACCATTTCTGCATCGGTGTCGCTGCGTACCCCGAGGGCCACGCCGATGAGAGCCACCCTCTGGGCCAGAGTATGGAGCACGACTTACCGTCGCTGGTAGAGAAGGTCCAGGCCGGAGCAGATTTCATCATGACCCAACTCTTCTTCGACATCAAGGCGTACGACAAGTTTGAGAAGACGCTCCGTGAGCACCCAAGCGGCGCTTTCAAGGACACCACCATTATCCCGGGCCTCATGCCCATACAAAATTACCAGATGATCAAGAGGACGACGAAGCTGAGCCATGCCAGGATACCCGACGACCTGATGGCACGACTGGAAGACGTGAAGAAGGATGACGAGCAGGTGAAGCAGGTTGGTGTCGACATCCTGAGTGAGCTGGTCGAGCAGATCAGGGAGATAAAGAGCAGGACACCAGGACCAAAGGGATTCCACTTCTACACTCTCAATCTCGAAAAGGCCGTCTCTTTCATTCTGGAGCGGACGGACTTGATACCACCAGAGACACCTAGTGAGGAAGCGGTGATGGACGACTTGATACCCCTGGTGCCGAAGATCGAAGTCAACGGCTCGGGATCCAACCACTCCTCACAGCTACATCTCGCTGTCGGTCACTCCTCACGCCGCCAGTCCAACGTCTCATCCGAGCCGCGTAATCGGGTCATCATCTCCGCCGAGAACCGCAACCCCTCAAACCCAGAGTACGAGGCCACGCAGCTAGAAGCATCGCGACCCTTCGACCCAGTCCACAGCCGGGTTAACACCCTGGCCATTTCGGAAGGCGAAGGAATTATGGGACGCGAGGCAACCTGGGATGACTTCCCCAACGGGCGATGGGGTGATGCTCGCTCGCCGGCGTACGGCGAGATCGACGGATACGGCGTGAGCCTGCACATGTCCGTGACCCAGGCGCAGAGGTTGTGGGGGGCTCCCAAAGCGGTAGAGGATATCAACACGTTGTTCCTCCGCCACCTGAGGGGTGAGCTTTCGGCAATACCCTGGAGCGAGGAGGAATTCAACGCCGAAACCGGGACAATCAAGGATCGGCTCATCGAGCTGAATACCCGCGGCTGGTGGACGGTAGCATCGCAGCCTGCCGTCAACGGGCTGCGGTCTTCAGACCCGACGTTTGGGTGGGGCCCGGCAAACGGATTCGTCTTCCAGAAGGCGTTCGTCGAGTTCTTCTGCCCTGCTGACGACTGGAAGAGGCTGTACGAGAAGTTGTCAAGACCCGAGATGAAGGACAGCATATGGTTCTACGCGGCAAATGCTTCTGGTGACTTCTTGTCGTCCGACTTCAGCGGCGGGCTAGACCTCGAGATGAAGGAGGCGGGCACCAACGCGGTGACCTGGGGCGTCTTCCCCGGAAAGGAGATAATCACGCCCACGATCATTGAGGAGGTCAGCTTCCGGGCTTGGGCAGAGGAGGCATTCGGCATCTGGGGTGAGTGGGCGCAGGTCTATGGCAAGGGCTCGGAGAGCTCAAGATTCTTGGAGAAGATGAAGAACGGCCTGTGGCTGGTGAACATCATCCACCACGAGTACATCGAAAAGGATGCGCTGTGGGATCTCTTGGCGAGTTCATAAACTGTCACCGAGACTGCACAACAATTGGGGGAATTAGCAGTATCGCCTCAATTGAGGCCCCTCAATACAAAGCGATGCCAAACGATTTCCTCATTAGGACTCGACATCGGTCGAAATGTGGTTCCAGTCCAAGCCCTCTATTTATTCGCTACCCCTGCCCAGCAATTGGGTGTATTTTCCAACGTCCCTTTCTATACCCACGTGGTCCCATTCACATCTTAATCCTGACCCAAGGAGGCTCTCGCTTATCTCTCCAGGAGACCGTCTCGTTTACAGTGGAGCCCCATCTTTCTCTGACAGGCGGACGCACCCGATTAAACTTTTGGTTGATCATAAACAAGTGATTATGATCTTCGCGCCCAGGACAAACAAATTGAGGGAGCCCCGAGAAGCTATTCGGAGCAATAAACACCATCCGTTTTTTTCCTTTTTTTTTTTTTTTTTTTTTTACACGCGTATGTTCCCCCAGGATGCCCACAACCATTCCTCCTTCTGCAGGATGTCAGCTCCTCCTGAAACCCGCCGACGCTCAGGACCGACCCATTTAATTGGCAATCGCACGGTTTTAAATTGCAGCTCGGCTGATCGGCTCCCAGGGCTGTGGGATCCGACAGCGCCGCCGAGCCGCAGCGCTGGGTCCCGATTCTGACAGGCAGCCAATCGACGCCGGCAAATTCTCAACTTCCTCTCGTCTCCTTGGCCAGAACGAGGATGGCGTGGGTGCCGCTTATATCGGTTAGAGGGGGGGCCACGCGACGTGAGCCCTGGGGTGACTTCGTCTTGGTCTTTGGGCCCGTGGGGTGATTTCATGTTCCCATGGCCCTCGTGGGTCCGCCTCTTGAAAGGGCCTCTTCTTCCACCAACCGCCCTCTCCCATAGGTGTCGCTGATCTGCCTTGCTCCTTTCTTTTGATTTCGATAAAAAGCTGTGCTTTAATTTCCAATTAACTGAAGGCGGTGTTGATCACTGTCTTATACTTTCGCTTCTCGGCCGGGAAAACAATACCTTCACTCACGATACCCTCTTAGTTCATAGCCGCATCGATCGATCGAGCAGAGCTGCAGCCCTCACCAGCATTGTACGGACCAGCAAAACAACTCTGGCCATTGCCCTTTTCGTCCACGACCAATCAGCTCGAATATACGTCTCCCCCAAACTACCCAGTCGAGCTCCCTCCAAACCACAGACATGGTGTCCGGCGCGATAGAAGCAGCACCAGGCTCGGCCACGACCGACTGGGTGACCTTCGACGGCACCGGGGTGCCTGCGAAGTTCATGTTCCACGTCGTCTTCTTCCCGGTGCTAATGTTTGCATTCCTGACCGTGCCTGGAATCATCTGCTGGTTCGCCCTGGGATGCGGGCGCCGGGGCAGGATCGCTCAGTATCAGCCGCCGTATCCTGCAAGGTTTGGTGAGTTGTCTTCCATCCATATCAGTCTTCCACACTCTCTCCGTGTGCCATTATTCAGAGAGGCTGTGGGAAGGGGCTTAATGATCTGAATGATCGCTAATGTATTGGCCATGATAGAAACCAAGGATATGCATCATGGACCGGTGCACAATGGACAGGTGGCGGATGTGTAGAACGTATTGATTTGCATTTGCTGGAGTTTGGTGTCTTTTTGTTTTCAGGGCCATCTGTCTTGAGTGGTGGTTGATTTGCATCTCAGCGTTGTGTTGTTGGTTGTCAGCGACCTACTTAGGACTGACTGGATCGCCGTGATCTTGAGGCACGGCACTACATTCATGCAGAATGAAAGAAATAACACAATGTCTCCGAGGCACCAACAAAACGCGTGAAGTTCGAAACGGATAGATGAGACTATGTTGCCGACGGTAACTTCATCTCGTCACCTCCCACTCCCTGCTGACCAGAATCCCTGGCGTGTGTCCGCTGTCCACCTTGGCCTCGACTTCACGGTCATCTCTTCTCTCATCGCTGCTGCCGTTCCCAACCGAGACGGCCGAGACTTCGGCCTGATGCTTGAAGCCTAGGGGACGAAGGCGCAGTTGTTCGCCGCCAGCATCGTCACCAAGAGGCTCAAACTGCTCCCTCCTAGGAACCCTGGACCCAAGGTTGTCCCCAGCTCTGTACTTGCAACGGCCGACCAGTGGCCGGAAGAGAGGAATGCAAGCCAGAGTTACGGCCATGCTGGGCTCGAGGCCACCGAAGATACTGGCCAGTGTGAAGCTGTATGGCAGGTCGGTGAAATCCATTTGCGTGAGGCAGACCAAGCGTATGACACTGGTGACGCATGTGCTGGACAAATTTGGGACAAGTCAGTCTCAGATAGCAGACAAGACACACTTTCAGCAATGCTTCGACGGGGTGGACATACAGCAAGCCCAGACTGAACACGGCAACTAATGCCAGCTTTTTACATATGCTCATGCGCAACTTATACAGCGCAGGTAATGGCAGAACGATGATAGCCAAATTCGTTGCCAAATTGATCGTTCCAATGATAACAAATAACCGGACTTGATCTCCACAATGTCCACCGGAAACCGTCTCCCAGTGCTCCGAAAAAGGCTGGCATGTCAGGAACGCTGTGAGGATCGTCCCAGCGGCCCACACCACATGAATTGCGATGGTGACCCTTGCGGCAACAACGAGATAGTGCTCTGTCTTGAACAGCTGGGAGTACAGAAGCAGTATGGAAGTCTTGGAGAAACCGAGACTCAACGTCCATAGGAACTGTAGCGGGATGACGAGCTTCAGCAACGTCACGACCGGGGTGCTGCCAAACTGTGCCACGATCTCAGAGGCATGTCCGTATGCCAGGCCACAGTGGACAACGGCCGCAATGCTGATTGCTTCGAGGGCTATCGTCAGGACTGCAGCAACGATAGCACAGTAATCGCTCAAGTTCAGGGCCCGAGCCGAAATGCGGCGGGCGATGACACGGAGAAGGACGGCGGCTGTGGGTACGACGCTGAAAATAATGGCCGCGGAGAGGACGGCTCTTTGCCGGTAGTTAACGATTGGGAAGGTCGTCATTTCGTCATGTCTTGTACATGTGTGTGTGTTGGCAGGAGCGACGATATCCCCCGGGAATAAATATTTGTGCTGGGCGAAATGGCTTATAAGACAAGGCCCCTTCTGGTCGAAGCCAACCCGACCAATAATCCAGTAATTATCGCCATCACACGTTGATTAATTACCAGTCATTCAACGCGACAAGAATTCGACGCCACGGCCACGGCACACGAAAACCTGTAATGATCTCCGGTAGTTAGGCAAACCACATGTTCGGTTGCCATCTCCGGGCACGTCAAGTGCCGGGGTAGACTTCCAAACCGGGGTCCGGGGATACTCGGTTTTGTAAGTCTGGAGGCTGGATGGCGATCCACATTGCCGTACTGGGCCTGCCTGAGTGTCCATCTTTCTATGATGGGTCTAGGTCTGCGGAGCCTGTATGACAGAAATACGACAGGTGGACAGTGTGAACCGAGGCGTGCATTGTCACAGTGGGCCAAAAATCTCAGAGCCATGGGCGATGCCTTCGGCTGTCTCTTCCGATTTTGTCGTGGACCTGGGCCCAATGATAACATTCCTCTTAGTTCCGGTAGCTATACAATAGAGACTATGAGCGTCAGCTGCAGGATCACCTCGACACACCAATCTCAGCTCTCTGTTTCTTGCATTGTGGGGAACCTGGCTGACACTACCCGTAATCAGTATCGATACTACAGCAGAGTATCGAGCTGGATGCAACGTCTGACACAAAAAGGACCATCAGGGTAAAATGGTGACTTTGCGTGTTGAACAGGGCATGGGCAAAATGTCGATCGCCTCACAGGTTGTGGGGTCTCTACTGGTGGCTGTTCTGAGCATCCTCTTTTGGAGGAGGTATCTGTCTCCCCTGCGAGATACCCCTGGTCCCTTCGCCGCATCCCTCACCCGTCTCTGGCACATGAAGCGGATCCTGAAAGGCGACCAGAACCTGGAACTGATCCGCCTCCACGAGAAACATGGCCACTTTGTCCGCATTGCCCCGGACGAAGTTAGTGTTAGCCACCCGGATGCGCTCAAGAAGATCCTCCTCGCGCCGCTGCGCAAGGGCGACTGGTACAAGATCGTGCACTTCCCCGACAGGCGCTTCAAGAACCCAATGGGCGAGACGGACCCGGCGACCAAGATTGAGCTGAGCAGGCACCTCGCCGCGGGCTACACCCTCACCAACCTTCTCCAGGCAGAGCCCGCCGTCGATGACACAGTTGAGCTGCTCCTCGGCTGGCTGGACAGGCACGCCGACGAGCACAAGCCCATCGACCTGGAGCGCTTCTTCACCTACACCACCTTCGACGTCGTCGGCGAGGTGATCTTCTCCAAGTCCTTCGGCTTCCTGCGTGAGGGACGGGACATCGGCGGGGCCATCGCCAACTCCCTGGTCCAGAACATCTACGTCGCCGTCGGCGGGTACATGCAGTGGTTCCACCTGCTGCTGTCGAACCCGCTGGTAACATGGCTTGACGTCCTTCCCTTTGGCCACATTATCGACACGGCGGTTGGCGCCATTAAGGAAAGGGAGAAGAATCCAGATGCACGCTTTGACGCTGTGGCCCACTGGTTCCGGTACCTTGCACAGAATCCGGCACGCATGTCCGCAAGGGAAATACAGTCTGCGGCGAGCAACGCCGTGGCCGCCGGCGCGGACACGGTCGCGTGCGGCCTGCAGGCGTTCGTCTACCACATGATCCGCCGCCCGGACCTATGGGACCGAGTGAGGAGGGAAATCGACGACGCGGGCTTGTCGGCGCCTGGGGTGCGGAAGAAGGTGGTGCTGTATTCTGAGGCGCAGAGGCTGCCGCTCTTGCAGGCGTGCATCAAAGAAGCGCTCCGAGTGTTCAGCCCGGCTCCAATGGGACTCCCGCGGGTGGCCGGTGAGGAGGGCGTCACGATTGGTGATCGCACATTCCCAAAGGGAACGATTTTGTCGGTCAACGCGTGGGTGATACACCATTCAAAGGAGATCTGGGGCGCGGACGCAAGCGAGTTCCGTCCGGAAAGGTGGCTGGCTGGTGACAAGTCGGCAGCTCTCGACAAGTACTACATGCCTGTAAGCAGCATATCCCATACTTTGGTCCCGCTGTTTCTTCAGGGTGCAGCAACTCACATCCTCACAGTTTGGGCTCGGTTACATGTCCTGTCCCGGTCAGAACATCGCAAAGATCGAGCTATCCAAAATTTCTGCAACCATAGTTCGTGACTATGATATTCGCCAGGTCGACCCCGGACAGGCATGGCAATGGAAGGCATACTTTACTGTCGCTCCACACTCATGGCCGTGTTATGTCGAGAAACGGGAGTAATTTGCATGCTCCGTTGTCTGGGGGAGGCATTCTGCAGGACCGACAAGAGATGATGCAACTAGCTTGGTGGGACTGGTAACTTTTCCAACAGTGTCCATTCAGAACGGACAGTGGCCTTCAGGATGCGCAATAGGTCCAGTGGCTGCTCACCTCTTAACCTTGCACATCATTGTTTCGATACGATATCAGCAAATACCATTCTTGTCAGAACCATGAAGGCATGAGACAAGGAGATTTGAAAGTCCCTGACAACACCAACAAAACAAGGAGTGGCTTTCTAAAAAAAAATGCCCAGAAAAAGAACTTGAGAGATTCAGTTCTCTGTCTTCAGTTTCTTTTCCCGACACTCGTTCTTCTTCTCTTCCTCTCTTCGCCTCTTCTTGATCGTGGATGCCGGATCAGCGAATCGCAAAGCAAAAGCCTTCGTCACTTCCGACCTGAACAAGTCGTCCTGCAGATCGTCCACGCACGCGGCAAAAACCTGGGGCGGAGCATTGCTGGCGGCTGTGACGAAGGACCATTCGAATGGTTGACCATTGTCTAAACACAGTCGAAAGGCGTCTTGCAGGTCGAGCATCTTCGCTTTCAAACTTGTTTCCGACCTGCGCTCGTACATTCGCTGCCAATCACGGACTGAATAGCCACGGCCTTTCGCATGAAGTTCTTCCTCTGCAATCTCCTTGACTCTATCGTTGCGGAAGCGGTCTCCCAGTTGCCAAAGGAACAAAATCCGCGGCCAAGGATGATGAAGAGGATCCCCGCCACGATCGAGTGGCCATACGTCCTGCAACGTCGTATGACCCCTGTGGAGGGCCAAAGGGTACATGACGCTGACGTAGTCACCGAATTCCTGGACCGAGATGTCGTCGAGATCAATTGAATTCGTTTGTCCCTCACTGAATGGCCCGTCCAGGACCTGAGCGAAGGTATCCGATTGCTCGATTAGCACGTCTCTATGGATGCAAAAGGTATGCCCCCCTTTGACCTTAATCGAGACCATTGCACACGGCGCGCTGACCGCGACTTTAGCTTCAAAAAGATACTCGGGAACAATCGTCTAGATTCGGAACGAAACTGGCGTACCTCAGAGGCCCATATCCCACTGTATCTGTAGGGCCGCTTTCGGACGCTGAGTCTTGCAGCTCGGAGTCACTGCTCATAATGAGTGTATGAACAGCGAGTCAGCCTCTATGGCGGCGTGTGACTGGCAAATTTATCAAAACTGTTGAGTATATGAGCTTGTCGAGGAGATTGTCTGTAGGAGGACATGCAGGGCGCGTCGGACCGTCGCGTCGTGCGCGTCTGGCGTCCCAGGTTTCGGGCTTAGCGTCAAAATTAATTAAGATTGGTTAAAGTTGCCCGATGCGACTCCGGGCCCAGGCTTTCTCATTCACCGATGCAGGTTCCATACACAGCACCTCATCTTGCTCATGGGAACCGAGAGCACGATGTGTAGGGCCGAAACTGGGACATGAACCTCCATTCACCTTTTTCAGACAAGTCAATCATTCAGAATACCTGCCTCAGTTGTTAGGACCAAATGAGTCTCAGAGGCCCAAGCAGATTGACCAGGGCCGTCCGAGAAACATTCTTTAATCACATTCCAATAATTGATTGGTAACTTTGGGGACGCTTATTCTTCATGCAAACATGTCGGCACGTTGATGCATCGACGACGCCTAAAGGACGTCTGACAATCAAGCTTTGCGTATGTTGGCAGCTCAAATGTGTTGCAGATGAGAAGAGGGATGCTGAAGACGGTGGGGCATGGTAGCCCCTGTTCATGGGATCGGCGCTAAGATAACTCTAATTGCTTATCGAAAAAAGTTTTGGTTACTATCCTCACTCTCGGCTTGCAGCCGCCGCCTGTGCAGCCCCGAACTGTCACCAGCATGCAGCAGTCGAGATGACAACAAGGCTTCCTTTCAAAACGACGTTCGAACCCGAAAGGGCGATACAGCCCATTTTCACAGGCGGCTCAATTGCACTGGACAATGGCGCCAAGTTTCTTGCCACAACCCTCGGTGAGGATGCCGTTCTGACGGATCTCTTGACCGGGAGGCAGCTTGCCAAAATCGAAGGGGTTCGTCCACCATCCACGACAAGCATCAGGCAATCAAAGTGCTAACGCTCAGTTCTCATCAGGATGACGAGCAAATCTCGACGTTGACATGTGCGACACACCAAAGCCTTCATAGTGCGCTGAGTGACAGCTGACCTGAAAGCCTAGTGACCCCTTCCGCCTCTCATCTAATAGTCTGCTCTCGGTCCCTTTCCATGCGCATATACTCCCTCAAGGTCTCCGAAGATCAAACCGAGATCGAAGCGACCCTGACACGAACCCTCAAACCACACGGAACTCCCGTTGTCGTCTTGGCCGTCGACCGTACTGGCACCCTGCTCGCGACCGGCGCGGCTGATGGCAACATCAAGGTCTGGGATCTGATCGGTGGATATGTGACGCACACATTCCGAGGGCCCAGCGTCCTCGTTTCGGCTCTTCACTTCTTCGAAATCGCCTCCAGTCGCCTGGCAGACGAGCAACTAACCGGCAAGAAGAGCAAGAAGACGAAGAGGAAGAGCGATGTGGGCAGTGAGGACAAGGATGCCGCAACTGCTAGGTTCCGCCTGGCGTCTGGCAGCCAAGACGGAAAAGTAAGAGTTTGGGACCTACACAAGCGCGCGGTGGTCGCGGACCTCGAGTCGCATGTGTCGGATGTTCAGGGGCTGGACTACTCCGCGTCGCAACATTCGCTCGTCACGGCCAGTCGTGACAAGACGATGATCTGGTGGGATGCGAAGTCGTGGACCCAGAGGAAGGTCATTCCAACATTTGAGACGATGGAAGCGGCTGGCTTCTTGGAAGACGGCAGGCTGACCTACACTGCTGGCGCCAACGGCTGCGTGAGGTTGTGGGATTCCGAGACAGGCCGAGAGGTGACGACGGAGCAGTCCTCGAAGTCTGAGGAGGGCTCAATCGTTGGCGCAGTTCTTTGCTCGGAGCAAAACCTGCTGGTGACTGTCCAGATGGACCATACTCTCGTTCTCTACCGAACACCTTCGATGCGAGACGCTCTCACAATACCTGAATTGCCGCCGCTTGAACCGCTCAGGAGGATTTCCGGCACTCATGACGAGATTATCGACCTTGCATACGTCCTACCTGATCACTCCATGATGGCACTAGCGACGAATTCGGAGGATGTGCGATTGGTCTCTGTGGCAGACGCAGAGGAAGGAGCTGATAGTATCAACGGGACGGGACATTACCTAGGCCAAGATATAGGTCTTCTCAAAGGCCACGACGAGATCGTGATAACACTCGACGTCGATTGGTCTGGACACTGGATCGCAACAGGTGCCAAGGACAACACAGCTCGGCTGTGGCGGGTCGACCGGGAGAACAACAGCTACACGTGCTGGGCAACATTCACGGGTCACGCAGAGTCGTTGGGCGCTATCGGCCTCCCGAAGACTGTTCCTCAGGAGTCGTCTGCAGCATTTCAAGACCCTGTCAATAACCCGCCTGCGGTCCTGATAACGGGATCACAGGATTTAACGGTGAAGAAGTGGGAAATCCCTCGACAAGCTTCAAAGAAGGCCAAAGCTCTGTTTACGAGGAAAGCCCACGAAAAAGACATCAACGCACTCGATATAAACCCCTCAGGACAACTATTTGCATCTGCTTCTCAAGACAAGACTGTCAAGATCTGGTCTGTGGCAGAGGGTGAAGTCCAGGGTATTCTTCGAGGTCACAAGAGAGGCGTTTGGTCAGTGAGATTTGCACCAGCACACACGCCCGTTATCCAGGGCGACAAGGGGGCGGTGGCTGGAAGAGGTCTGATTCTGACCGGCTCTGGAGATAAGACCGTCAAGATATGGAGCCTGTCAGACTACACATGTCTGAGGACATTTGAGGGGCATTCGAACAGTATTTTGAAGGTGGCGTGGCTCTACCAACACACCGAGGGCGACAAGTCCAAGCGGGTCCAGTTCGCCAGCGCCGGTGGTGACGGTCTTGTGAAAGTCTGGGACGTCAACAGCGGCGAAACGGAGACCACGCTGGACAACCATGAGGACCGCGTGTGGGCCCTTGCTGTGCATCCCGAGACGAACATGATCGTCTCCGGAAGCGCTGACTCCACCGTCACCTTCTGGAAGGATACTTCGTCTCAGACGCAAACTGCGGCGGTCGAGGCGGCCACCAAGCTGATCGAGCAGGAGCAGGAGCTCGAGAACTATATGCACACGGGTGCATACAGAGATGCCATCGCCCTCGCGCTGCAGCTCAACCACCTGGAAGGTTGCTCAACCTGTTCACCAAGGTTGTCAACTCCAAGGAGCCAGAGAAGGGAAGCATGTCCGGCCTCAAGGCGGTAGATGAGGTCTTGGCGACGCTGTCTGACGAGCAGATCTTCCTGCTGCTACTACGGTTGCGGGATTGGAACACCAATGCCAGGACCGCGCCAGTAGCCCAGAGGATACTGTGGGCCCTGGTCAGGAGTTATCCGGCCTCCAAGTTCTCGAACCTGTCGGTCAAGGGCGCACGTGGGCAGAGGAGTCTGAAAGAGGTGCTGAATGCGCTGAAAGTGTACACGGAGAGGCACTACAAGCGCACGGAGGAGCTTGTCGATGAATCATACTTGGTGGAGTACACATTACAGGAGATGGAGAACCTGGCACCTATGATGGACCTGCCTGCGGCTGCTGAGAACGGTGAGGGAGATGTGCTGATGCTGGATGCATCTTCATGAGGTGGAGCAATTCTTGGGTAAACAAAATAGAAGTGATACCAAAGCATCCAAGTAAATCCAGACACATTTCCGTCTACGGTCGTCAGCAGTGCTCACAGTCACTGAGGAATAAAGGTACACATTTTCGACGATACCACCAGGAAGCGATTAGTACACTGGGCTATCCTAGTATTGTTGTATTTAGAAGCAGCTGTCTAGGCCGCTCAGTTCCGAAATCCACACTTGTCTTTGAAATCTGTTGCCAACCTGGTCCCTAACTTTCGTACCCCAACTCAGCAGCGTGAAATTCTTCTCTGCTCAGTCATTTCAAATTTTATTGCCATGGTATCATGGTGTCAAGCTTCAATTACACCGTTGTTTGCGAAGTCTTTTCCAGGATAAATGCGTAGCTTGGTGGTGATGCCGTGGGTCTTGCGTGTCCTGTATGGTTTTCCCCTTCCAAAGTCAGCGAAAGTTCGACCAAAAGGATGCTTTGATGGTGGCGCAGACTGCGAGGGAGTGATCAGGAATGATCACCCGTTCTCTTCCTGGGATCGCAGGTCCCGTGTTCCCGGTCACGCAAACAAACCAGAATTATCACCAATGTGGATCCCCACTCTTTATTTCTCACACGTCATTTGCGAATCCAAAACATGGACGAGGCCTCTTGGTTGTCGTGTTGTAAGCTTGTGTGGAAAAAGCAAACGCTTAATCCGTCAGCCGGATCAAGCCTTATATACCGTAGGTACTTCAACATACCCCCGAGTTTGCAAGGTGATACCCACTAAGTGAAGTGTATGCCATGGTAGCCCCTATATACGTGAAATGCTTCGCCTGGGTTATATACCCTAAATGCACTTATATAAGCAGTGCCATTTAAACGGCAGGTGGTTTTTAAACTTATAAACTTTTTAGCCTTTAAACTTAAAATCTTTATAAAACCTAGATATAAGGGGCTTAACCCAGGGCGCTTAATTTGGTATAGCTTAGGGGAATATAGCGGTTAATCGCGCTATATAAACAAACCAAGGGCCCATAACTATGGAAAAAGCGAACGCTTAATCCATCAGCCGGATCAAGCCTTATATACCGTAGGTACTTCAACAGCTTGCGGATGTAAATGGTCATATCGCCACCGCCTGCAGGCCTAATGAAAATGTCATTTCAGTTCCAGCCTTGCAGCAAATCAGTGAATGCTAACATGAGACATGACAATAGCTGTATAAGTATTGCCATGACACAGAAGTATAATACACGGCATGTGTGCAACTATGTTGTAGATCGCCGCTTTACAGCCCCCAAGCTAAAACCGCTCTGCCAGAGAGCGAATGCAGGCTTACTTAAAGTTGCTGTTTTAGGCCTAAATTTGCAGCAGGTTGTTTCTGACGTGAGACATAACAGGAACGATATAGGTAGGGAATAGATACATTTCATGAGTACCAAGTATGTGTACAGCTGTATCATTGGCTTGCAGCTCCCAAGCAGGAACCACTTTATACACATACAGGAACCATGACCAGGCATTCCCACTAAAGGCATGTTTAGCGCCCCAAGAAGAGGTCATCCGTGAGATAACCTCAAAGTCACCTCTGACGGATGTGTGTCAGGGCTTAGGATCCTTCTGTTCAAAATGGTAAGGTTCGAGAAGGCCCACCCTTGACCTACAGTTTAGGTGGATCGAGACAATTAGCTGCGAGACCTCTCTCTCTTCCTCTCTCTGCCTTTTTCCCTTTTTCGCTTCTCTCTTTTGAACACTATCTGGCTTCACAAGTCCTACAAGTGAGTGTGAGAAAGGGACCCACATCTGATTTTGAGCGCCGATATACTGTACTTGAATCATTGCACTCTCAGTCTTTGTTCTTCTGGCCAAGAATCACTACTCTTGCTTTCCACATCACGTTGCTCAAAATGCGTCCCGCCTTGCTTCTCAAAGGCTTGAGTCTTGCCATCGCCTTCGTATCTGTCAATGCCCAGAACCACGGCATGTGGTAGGACAAATGTCCAACCGACTCTCTCTACCACTCTCTGCATATGTTGAGGACACTAACGGACTTCAGTGGGGATGAGGACAATCCGTCAGTCGCGAAGGAATCTGTCGGAATAGACACATGCTAGTCGACCTTGAAAGGCTACCAAACCAATATGAATACTGCAGCTACCTTTGGGGTCAGAAAGTCACCGGGTTCTTCAAGCTCGTTGATGATATCTTCGACCTCACTTACGAAGACAGTTCGGGTCAGTGCTAGTGCCTCCTCGAAAGTTGCTGCCGTCACAGCTTCTCAGCAGCCTGACAGATTCAACTTGAACTGCTGTGATTTCATGGGTGTGCAGTTTTGCTTCCATTTTCTATGCGGCTGTCTTCGTATACGCAGCTGTTTTACTTGCGGCCTGGGGAGCATCACTTTCTAGGAGGGCGAGAGAGGCACATCTAGAGAGGAGGAATGGGGCATCTTAAAGAGTTAGGAAGTTGGGAGGAAAAGGACGCGGGCGGCAGTTGTGATATTCAATAAGCTTGGGTTTTGCTGTACGAGACCCAGCCCACATCCTGCAGCCTGGCGGCCTGTTGGTGACGGCAAGGCACGGACCCAACTTTTTATCACGCGCTCAAATCTATTCTATACTGTCACTACTCTACAAAATAATAACCTCAACTGTCTGTCACACCGAGTCTCATCTTTAAACATGTCTCTCGTGCTTAAGCGAACAACACTTCCCAGTTCTAAACTTTCGTTGCACAGTACCAGGCGCCACTCCACAGCCGATGATGGCCAATGGACAAAGAAAAGACTTCCTAGTTCATGAGACCACTGATCTAGTTAAAGGAGTTACATCTTCATCAGTCATCTCGCCCAACACGGCGTCTGAAGATCAAAACGATGACGACAAGTCTGTGGACCCAGACTCATCATCAGACCAAGAGATAAAGGAACCATATTAAACCTGTTCTGTAGATCCACCATCCTCTGAACCGCTGTGGAGGACAAGGGAAGGCAGAATTGCAGGGTACAAACGCATGTTAGAGTCCAATCACCTTCCAAAGCAGCGTGCCAACTTTGAGGCGACGGTTAGGTACTATGAGGATGGTGGTAAAGTCCCAGAAGGGAAAGAGGAGGTTTGGGAATTTGATGAGCAGGCTTCTTTGGTATTAGGTTCTATACACATATTGACCAGATGCCTGATGAATGGTTGTACAAGCGTAGGTGGCCTGATGTGAGCGCTTTTTGCCTCTGCCGATACTGTTCCTGAGGTTGACTTTATTTTGCTCCTTTCTATTGCTGACTCTTTTGTGCAGAGCTCGAAGTATTGTCAAATCAACTCCGTCCCTACGTCGACTGAATATTTGATTGCTGATTCGCAGGGAAGAGTTATCCTGTGAGGGGAGCGATGCTGTAGTGAAGTGCCCAGGTGGTAAATGAGGGCGTGAACGGATAGGGAACCTGCCGCTGCTGGCAAATACTGAATTGAGTAGCTCGGTCATGGATTGAATGAATCGTGATGGTTATCGGTGATAGACCATATTTATGTCCATGAGATGGCGTTTAACCCGTTGTTACTCGAATTACCTTATACAAGGAGCCAAGGTTGATAGAGCTCTGGTTGTGGCAATAGTGACAGGTGGGGCGTCAGTGCATCAATCCAAACTGCAGGTGTCCCAGGATTTTGGCGCTGCACTGAACCTAATCCACTCCAGCAGCCTCATCGACACAACCACCTGCTGCACCGCCCAGCGAACGCTTCCACTCCTCTTCCTCTCCTTCTCCCCGCAAGCCCCACGCGACTCGATTCCCGCATCAACATGTCGAAGCGACTCGCATCAGAAGCGCTCGAAGAGGCCTTCAACGCAGACTCACCTGCATCGAAAAAGTCGCGGATTGGCGAGCCAAGTGAAAGCCCCAGCGCGCACGAAGACAGCGACCTGGAGCAGCGCAGAGCAGGTGGGGAGACAACACCAAGGCAGAATGGCACCGCAAACGGGCACGACGAGGAACCAGACTCCGACTCGGGCGACGATGAGCCAGAAGAGAAGGCGCCGATCAGGCAGTCGGCGCCCACGGCGGGCTACGACGACTTGTACCTCGACACGATCGACCGGAACGTGCTAGATTTCGATTTCGAGAAGCTCTGCTCGGTGTCGCTCTCCAACATCAACGTGTACGCGTGCCTGGTGTGCGGGAAGTACTTCCAAGGCAGGGGGCCAAAATCACACGCCTACTTCCACTCGCTGGACGAAAACCACCATGTCTACATCAACATGGCGACGCAGAAAGTATACGTGTTACCGGAGGGGTACGAGGTGACGAGCAAGAGCTTGGACGATATCAAGTACGTGTCGGACCCCGAGGTACACGAAACAGGAGGTTATGGAGATAGATCGGCGGCCGCGCACCAGCCTCACGATCTTGGGGAAGGATTACACGCCGGGCTATGTGGGGATGAACAACATCAAGGAGAACGACTACCTGAACGTCGTGGTGCAGGCACTATCACACGTACCGCCACTGCGGAATTTCTTCTTGCTGGAGGACTTCGCGAGCTCGCGGTCGGAGCTGGTCAAGAGGACGAGCATCTTGTTCAGGAAAATCTGGAACCCGCGCGCGTTCAAGTCGCACGTGTCGCCACACGAATTGCTGCAGGAGATCTCGTCGCGGTCGAACAAGCGATATACCCTAACCGCGCAGAGCGACCCCGTCGAGTTCCTGAGCTGGTTCCTGAACAACCTCCACCTCGGCCTGGGAGGGAGCAAGACGAAGCCGGGGAGCAGCATGGTGCAGCGGGTATTCCAGGGAAAGCTCAAGGTCGAGTCACAAGCCATCACCGCAAAAGCAGACGTGGGCGACCGCCTACGGTTCGAGGAGGCCGCAGAAGTGAAGGTGGACGTCAGCCGGTTCCTCCTCCTGACGCTGGACCTCCCACCCGCGCCACTGTTCCAAGACGAGCAGGAGCGCAACATCATCCCCCAGGTGCCACTCACGACGATCCTCTCCAAGTACGACGGGCACTCGGCACAAGAACACCTGGCGCACCGGCGGCGGTACAGGCTGATGCACCCGCTGCCGCCGTACCTGGTGATGCACGTGAAGCGGTTCAGCCAGAACAAGTTCGTCAGCGAGCGCAACCCGACCATCGTGACGTTCGACTCGCGCGACCTGGACGTGAGCCCGTACGTGGAGCCGGACCCGGCGGCGCACCCGGGGGGCGGGCCGATCTACTACGACCTGGTGGCCAACGTGGTGCACGAGGCGGTGCGGCTGCGCGAGGACGTGGCGGACACGGGCGAGGAGCGCAAGACGTGGAAGGTGCAGCTGCTGGACAAGGCGCGGGGCGAGTGGGTGGTCTGCCAGGACCTGTTCGTCGACAAGATCCAGAAGGAGCTGCTGTGCATGGGAGAGAGTTATTTACAGATATGGGAGAGGAGGAGGGAGCCTGGCCCAGGGAAGGGCAAGGCAAAGGCATGATGGAGTGTGTTCTGGCAGGAGGAAAGTGCCCAGTCGGGGCATTAGTCGCCCAACACTGAACCGGGACTGGGTAGCAGCCCTTAACATTAACCGGCTGTGAACACCGGGTATATCGACGAGCCCGTGAGCTATTCGCTCTCTCCTTGTTGCATTTCTTCAGTGACGGTGACAAGGGGAGTCATTCGTAAGGCTTCTGACTGCCCCGTCTGTACTCTGAAGGGAATCCATAAACATCCTGCTTTTTTTGTAGATGTCTATCTCACGCGAGGAGGCTGAACGGTGGTGTGGTGCATTAGTAGCACCCCATGGCTGCAGATTTGCCGCCACCCGTGGTCTGCGGCCAGGTACCCCACACTGCACGCTGGCTGCTGGCTGCTGCTGGCGGCTGTCGATCCATTAGGTGCAACGGTGGAGCTGACTGGGCCTCAAGCCGTCGCCTTGCCATCCCAGTGCTCATTGGAAGAGACTTTTTTCTGTCGACGCTTCACATTTTCCAAAGTTCCGCATTCCATCCCAACCCACCAGACCATCGCGTACCAGACCGTATACCCTTGTGACACCGCCTGCAATCCTCATCCCACCTTCAGATCGACTGTTTTCCCAGCTGCAGCCAGGCCTTTCTTCTCTCCAGCCTAACCCGACCTCGAGGCACCCATCCCAGACTTCGAAAACCCCCCTGCGTCAAGCTCTGTACCTTGACTCTCCTCCGTCATCCGCATCTTTGGTGCATCACATCCCGTCCGCCACTTTAGATACACACCAACACAATCTGCCCTGCAGCTTGCAACCCGAGTTACACATCAACATCACTTTCTTCTTCACTTCTCAGTGGCTTTCTCAAACAGCTCGACCATACTCAGATTTGCATCCTATTATTGAAATACCCTGCAAACGCGCCATCAAAACTCACGTCTTGCTCACCTCTACCGCCGCGACCGTACTGCAAACGCACGACGAACAAAGAAAGCATATCCGAACGACTCGGTCACAATCATTTCCGCAACCTGATAGGAGTCTGTTCAATTGATTGATCATCAGTGAAACCACTTTTGGGTAAATTGTAGCCCTCGGAGCCTGGAATAAGTCTGCGAGGAGGGTTGCAGAAATCTTCCCAAAGAACAAATCGCAAAGGGCAGCTTGCCTCGCCGTTCGTTTCACAGCCTCCATGGATAACCTATGGACCCGCCGGACCAAGTATGTCTCATGCCCATGCCCAATCTCCCCCAGACCTCACATCGCAGCCGCTGACTCTGGCTTCCAACAGCACCAACAAGCTCTCCCTCACGACTCCAGGTTCAGCCCTCAACGACACCGGCTCCATCGGCCGGAATTCCTCCATCTCCAAGCGATTCGGCGGTGACAGCTCGTCGCACGGGACGAGGAACACTCTCAACGACATCAAAACTCCAGGCAGCGGACTCGCCTCACCGGGCGGCGCATCTAACGCCTTCGCCCTCGGCACCGGCGCCTTCTCGAACTTCGGGGCAAAGACACCCAAGTCCACCGGGAACCCTTTCGACCTAGCCTCTAAGACCCCTACTGCCGAGAAACCCGCAAGTCACGGCGCGAACGGGGGAAGCGCGACCAAGGCCGGCCTGAGCGGGGCTGCGAAATCAGCCGCGACCACACCGGGGGCCGCAACGAGGGAGAGGAAGGACAGCGACCACCGCGGGGTCCACCCGCTGCGCAACAGCTGGGCGTTCTGGTACCGCCCTTCCATCCCAAAGAACGTCGGCTACATCCCATACGAGGACACCGTCCATGGCATAGCGGCGGTGAACAGCGCCGAGGAGTTCTGGGCCGTGTATAGGCACCTGAAGCGGCCGTCGTCCCTGCCAGTGGTGTCCGACTACCACCTGTTCAAGAAGGGTGTCCGGCCCATCTGGGAGGATGACGAGAACAGGAAGGGCGGCAAGTGGGTCGTGCGCCTCAAGAAGGGGGTCGCGGACCGGTACTGGGAGGACTTAATGCTTGCGCTCATTGGTGAGCAGTTTGGTGATGCTGGCGAGGAAGTCTGCGGTGCCGTGATGAGTGTCAGAAACGGTGAGGATATCCTCAGCATCTGGACTGCCACCAGTGGGGGCAAGGTGCTCAAGATCAGGCGAGTAACAGGCTACCGCAGTGCACGTGTCTGATGAGGGTGAAAATCTAACATTGCCACCAGGGAAACCTTTAAGCGGGTCCTGAACTTCCCCCCAGAAACCAAGATCGAGTGGAAGGTGCACGAGGAGAGCATCCAACAACGCATCACCGTCGAGGAGTCTCGCAAGGAGAGAGCCAACCAGCACAAGTCTGGCAACAAGCAGAACAACCAGCGACAGGCCCAGCAGCACCAGCAGGGCAACGACGACTCAACCCCGGCCTCTCAGGCGTCATAGTGGCGGCCTCGACAGTGACAGAGTCGGACGGTCCAGGAGGGTTGCCTACCTGGAGGAGGCAACCCCACCGCAGCCCGCTCTTCCGACACCCCACGGCTGATTTCCCGAGTCGGAGGACGGGGTGGGAGTAGGAGACGGCTGGGATTCTGGCATGTCTAGCGAACGGCCCATGGGTCGTGCAGAGCCGCATTGTATCGAATAGTAGCGTGTCTTTTTGGGTCACAGCAAATTCCAATTACTGAGCTTTGCATGCCGAATAATGAAACCGTCAATGTTAAGGTCGATTCTGTCCTAATTATCTTGGTCTCATATCATGCGCTAGGTGCTGCTACCGATCCCGTCTTACTGATCGACGCGATTCTAGGATCTGCAATCAACTTAATGTGAGGCCAATTCAAGGCCAGGTCAGGCTCTTATAATATTCACCACCATGCTCTGCACAACCAGTATCTAGGTGTTAGAGCTGCCGAATGCGATTGCCCCCCAGAAGCTGACTGGAAGGGGTTCGCCACGTTTGGATATGAGCTACGTGATGGCACTCAAAGGTTTTCTAATTTGCAATGGGCCGACGGCTCGAATACGGCGGTGTTAACCTTGCGCCGACACGAAGACACAGGAACAGACTACTTATAAGCATCCTAAAATTGGGGGTTTGACTTCCAAGGAAGAAACCATCCCCTTGGACAAACACTTACGCAGTACTTTATGTCGTGAGTGGAAGTGCATGCGAGGGTACTCGATAGCGATAAGCGGTACGCGAACCGGCCGCCGTGGTTTAAGAGCCCGCGGGGCACTGTAGAGCACTTCGCCCTCGCTATCGTTATCGCACGCCGCATTCCCGCCTGTCAGCCTCAGGTCGCATGTTCGGGCCCCTCCATGCGACACAGCTCACTGGATGTTTCGCAGGATCCACGTTACTGTTGACTCACACTTCACTGCGTTTTATATCTCGTTTGAGCAACAACCCCACGGGATTGAATCCCCTCAGACTATTCTATTAAAAGGCTAAAGCATTTGCGAGTTCAAAGAAATCTTGGGATCCAGCGACATCGATCCAAAGCTGCCCCACCACGTTTTTCCTGAGGGTGGGTCCCAGTCTCTCATTCTCATCCTCAACCCTCGTCCTCACCCAACTCACAAGGCTCACAGCTCGTCGTCACAACAACGCAGCACACACGAGACACGGCCCTCAAGATGGCGACGGACGCGATTTTGCCCGTGGACGGCAAGAGGAATGTTCTCATCACGAGCGCTCTCCCATATGTCAACAACGTGCCCCACCTTGGAAATGTCATCGGTAGTGTTCTGTCCGCAGACGTCTTCTCCCGCTGGTCCAAGGCCCGCGGCTTCCAGACCCTCTTCGTCTGCGGCTCTGACGAGTACGGAACCGCCACCGAGACCAAGGCCCTCGAGGAGGGCGTGAGCCCCGAGGAGCTCTGCAAGAAGTACCACGCCCTTCACAAGGAGATCTACGACTGGTTCAAGATCGAGTTCGACATCTTCGGCCGCACCCCGACCGAGCACCAGACACAGATCACCCAGGACATCTTCCGCAACCTGTGGAACAACGGCTTCATCCTCGAGCGCGAGGAGTTCCAGCCTTTCTGCTCCCACGAGAACCACAACAGCTTCCTCGCTGACAGGTTCGTCGAGGGCGAGTGCTCCATCTGCGGCGACAACGGGGCGCGTGGTGACCAGTGCGACAAGTGCGGCAACCTGCTGGACCCGTTCCAGCCCGAGTCCGAGGCTGGCGCTTCCGACGATGCGGCGGCAAAGGGTACCGGGTGGCTCGTGAACCCCCGCTGCAAGGTTGACGGCACGACCCCGGAGAGGCGAAAGACAAAGCATCTGTACCTGCGGCTAGACGCACTGGGGGACGAGATCAAGGCCTGGTTCCTGGAGGCCAGCAAGAAGGGCGCGTGGAGCTCCAACTGTATCCAGATCACCGACTCGTGGATCCAGAAGGGGCTGTTGCCTCGTGCCATCACTCGTGATCTGAAATGGGGCACTGCCATTCCCAAGGGTCTCAAGGGCCTGGACGACGAGGCATATGCTAACAAGGTGTTTTACGTGTGGTTCGACGCATGCATCGGATATGTGTCCATCACAGCCAACTACACAGACGGCAAGAATGCGGATGGGAAGCTGTGGGAGAAGTGGTGGAAGTCCGACAATGTCGACCTTATACAATTCATGGGCAAGGACAACGTTCCTTTCCACACTATCGTCTTCCCAGGCTCCCAGATCGGAACCAGGGAGAAATGGACCAAGGTCCACAAGCTTTCCACAACCGAGTACCTCAACTACGAGGAGTCCAAGTTCAGCAAATCCAAGGGAGTCGGCGTGTTCGGCAACAACGCGAAGGACACTGGCATCGAGCCAAACGTGTGGAGATACTACCTGCTCTCGCGACGCCCAGAGACGGCAGACAGCGAGTTCAAGTGGACCGAGTTCGTCGACGCCAACAACAACGACCTGCTCAAGAACCTCGGCAACTTCAACCAGCGCGTGCTCAAGTTCTGCCAGGCCAAGTACGAGTCTGTGGTCCCTGACTACACTAAATACAAATCCGAGGGCATCGACGCGCATATCCGGGACGTCAACGCCCTGCTCAAGGAGTACAACACCCACATGGACGCCACCAAGCTGCGGGCGGGCCTGCAGACGGTCCTGGCCATCTCGGCGCTCGGCAACAAGCTCCTGCAGGACAACAAGCTCGACAACCGCCTCCTGACCGAGGAGCCGGACCGCTGCGCGGCCGTCATCGGCCTCGCGCTGAACCACATCGCCCTGCTCGCGTCCATCGTGGCGCCCTACATGCCGGGCACCGCGGCCAACATCTTCGAGCAGCTCGGCCTGCAGCCGCAGCCCTCGATCCCGGACGCCTGGGTGACGGACGCCATCAAGCCCGGGCACAAGCTCGGCACGCCCAAGCTGCTCTTCACGCAGATCCCGGCCGCCAAGGTCGAGGAGTGGCGCGAGGCGTACGGCGGCGAGGAGGTCAAGAAGGCGAAGGAGCTCGCCGCCCGCAAGGCGGAGGAGAAGAGGCTCGCCAAGGAGCGCGACAAGGAGAAGAAGAGGCTTAAGAAGCTGGCTGCCGCCCAGGCCAAGGAGAACGAGACGCGTAAGTGAACCTTTGGCACATACACCCCAGGAGTGTAGGCAAGAGACATGCTAACACAGCTCTTTGATAGCCGCGGCCAAGCCGAGCGTCGAGTCGACCGAGAAGAAGGAGATGGCGGACCCCGAGATCGAGAAGGTCACCGAGGCCATTGCCAAGGCCGACGTGCACACCTCTTGAGTACCTTGATTCATCGAGAAGCGTTTTGTAGCGTACGATCTGCACAGAGGCATTTTGGGGCCTTTCTTGATGGGGATGGGTAGGAGTCAAGGGGCGGCCGGGAGAGGAGCAACTACAAACGACCCGGCGGCGTTCAACTCAGCCACGCGGGACGGACATGAGAGCGTGTTTTTCCTGTGTCGGATCTCGTCGCACAATCTTGATTTCCAAGATTTGCATGTTAGATGGCAAAAGTAGGAGAGAGTAAAGGAGTGAGGGGTTTGAAAAAGGAGCCACTGATTTGCTGGGATTTCACGGAGCTTTAGACGGCCATCTGGAGGGCGGAGGCGGAGCTTGTAGATGCAGCACGTTGTCAGTTCAAGTCAATTGCACATCACGGTGGCGAGGAGCTGAATGTCTAGTCCTCAAGGACCACCAAGAGAGGCTTTCGAGCGACAAATCGCAGAACACGCACGTGGACAGTGTGTTCCACGAGAGACCATGTTCAATGCTTGGATTTGGTCAGGGGCTTTCAATTTTTCCTTTTTCCTTGTGGCTGGAAATGACAAACATTTGCGGATCTAGGCAGCCTGTCTGCTATTATCCCGAATTCCCATCTCCAGCATCTCAGCGAGGATATCCCACTTGGGCGCCGCCGCGTCCACCGACGCCCTCGCCACGCCGCGCAGGCCGCCCGCGATGAAGCGCAGATGCCGGTCAAAGTCGGCGCGGATGCCCATGAGAACCTCCGCGTACGTCTGTCTCTGGTACTGCTGTTTCTGCTGTTGCTTCTGCTTCTGATTCGGCGTGTTGGCCGAGTCCTGGACGCCGAAGTCCTCGTCGTCCTCCTCGTCACCATCCCCAAAGAGTATGGTGTTATCCTCCTCCCTCTCCTTCTCCTTGGGGCTGACATACACGCCGAGCTTAGGTGTCCTTTCGCTCCCGACGGGGCCGCCTGCGCCAGGGCGATTCGGCGTGACGAGGTCCTCGTGACCGGGCTGGCGCTCCTCCTCGGTGCGCCTCGCGTCCTCGAGCTTGATGGCCAGGTCGAGCACGTCGAGCATGCACTCCTTGATGGGCTCCAGTTTGGCGCCCAGGAACGCCTCCTCGGTGATGCGCCTCGAGAAGGCCGAGTGGATCTCGATCATGGCGTCGACGTCCTCTGCGTTCTGGACGTCGCCGCGCATGCGCTCTATGTTCGGGGCGAGGACGAGGGTGGCCAGGTAGGTCTGGAGGATGTTTGTGAACCAGATCAGGCGCGAGCGGAGGCTGTAAAAGGTCAGCTGCTCGCTGGTCTCATCGTAGCTCCTGCAGCTGGTGAAGAGCTTGTTCAAGATGGCGGCTACGCGCCGGATCTGTAAGAGGAGTGTGAAGATGGCTTGGTAGCCGACGATGCTGTCTGCTTTGATGACCAGCCGGACGGGCCAGGCGAGCCTGTAAGAGAGTCGAACCCCAGGTAAAGTGTTTCTGACGCTGCATCGGGCTTTGTGAGGATTGTCGTGGAAAATGTGTCCAGGGTCTACGGCTGCCGAGAGTCGATATGGTTCCAGTCCCGGACATTGTGACCAAGCCTCCTGGGCGACTTCGGTGAGGCTGAAGCGGTCTGTCCAAGTAGTGTTGAGTGCATCCAAGTTAGAGAAAATGTCGGATGTGAATATTTCGGATATGGAGCCGTCTGACATGAAGTAAATGTGTTGTAATACATCAAAGCTGGACCACAACCCACAAGACTCGAACAGTATTTCCTGGAGGTTTGCAGCCGTCGAGAAGTACCTGCTTTGAATCCAAAGGTCGAATGCATCACTGAATAGCTCCGAGAAGGGGGCAATGGCGAGATCTGGGGAGCCACAGATGGACTCGAAATCCAGCGGGGGCTCCAGTGTACGATCTGCGGGATGATCTGTGACGCTGCGGAAGCGCCCAAGCTGTTTGAGGACAACCACGCTCTTTCCAGTGTTGAAGACTTTCTTCAGGGCGGATTGAAGGAAATTTGGTGCATGCAGTTGGTTGTCCGGAGTTCGTCGGAGTTCGAACTTGTGGCTCCAGATCTGGTGCAGAGGGACTGGGCTTTCACACTTCGCAACAAAAAATGTCTTGTCTCCTGGCGTCAGATGGCCCTCCTCCATCCACCGCCTTATGGGGATGGTGTAAACTCTGAAGCATTCGAAGAAGATGGCTCCCAGAAAGCTGTACGTGCGTGTGTCTCCACTCAGTTGAGCAATACAAGTCGCGTTGTAGAGCAGCTCTAGGCAGCGGAAAGCATGAGCGTAACGCTCATCCTGTAGTTGACGGACCACATGGCCAAGCGCAATTAGGGGAGTCAGATGTGGCCGAAGCTCTTCCTGAAGAGCAATTAAGCTGACGACTGTGTCATGTTTGATGTCAACGAAACGGTGCTGGATCAGAGCGACGTCGCGATCAAACAGCCTCAGCCGTTGGAAGACAGAATCCTGGAAGGCTTGGACCATCGGAATACCTTGTGTCGTCTCGCAGAACTTGCGGAGTGGAAGCAGAGTCCGGCCGCACTCGGCAAAGGAGTTGATTAACGCCCTATATGTGTCCCATGAGATATCTGCAAGCTGGAACCTGGGCACAGGCGTGCAGTCCGGGGCGAATAGATCTGACGGGAGGCCATTGAGCATGAAAAGGACTTCACGCAGGATTTGAAGCTCGGAAATAGGTATCTTCAGCGGACGTCCTGCCTCGTCCCTTGGAAGAGCAGTGTTTCGCCATTCCTGGGACTTTTCGACGGCTGCGAGCGCTGCATCACCGTGATCTTGTGTGAGCACGAGATCCTTGGCGGTCCTCCTGCCTTGCGTCGCACTGGATATCGAGGTGTCTGACGACTCATCAGACACCTGTGACTGGGAGTCCTGGACGACTTCATCCTCCGAGCTGTCGGCGAAGTCGACGTTCTTCCAGAGACTGCGGTCTTGCGCCCAGCCATCCTCCTCGGCAATGTCCTCCCATCGCAGTTTCGGACCTGAGTCTTGGTCTGGAGGGCGTAGACGTTCCAACGCGTCGAGTGAGGTCTCTTGCGTGGGCCTATCAGACAACTCAAGGAATAGGTGTAGTAGCTCGGGAGTGAACCTGGTAGTTCTGGTCGACAGAGAATCCAGCCTCTGCCTCAGAGCGTCTGAGAGCCCATCGCGGCCGACAACTGAGAAGCGCTCTACAAGGCCACGGAGTTGCTCTTCGACAGCAAAATGATTTGTCTGCAGGTAGCTTCGATTCCTAAGGCTGCGAAGGGCAGACTCGCGCAATTTGTTGAATCTCTGTGGATGAGACTAGAGAGGTGTCAGAAACGGGGCAACGATAGACTCATAATGGAGAGCGGGCGTACAGTCGGCGAGGTGGATGTGATGACGGTGACGAGCTCGTCTGTAAGAGCCCCAAACTCGGCAAGGAATGCCATTCTGCAGGGGCAGGGAGGAGAAACATAGGATGGCGTTTGACCGTATCACGACGACTCCATTGTAGATTTGTCGATTGCAGTTGGCCCATCAGATGAGGCTCAAGTGCTGCGTCACTGTCTAAGTGCATTTGTACGCGTCCAGGGCAGGCACAGGGTTACACACGCGACTTGCCCCAGTTGCTGGGCCAAGCCAAGCAGATCGAGGGCGCAGATCTGTCTGTCCGCTGCAGAAGCTTCGGCTTGGCCAAACCCACCTGGGCACCCCGGCCGCGTCCCCTATTTCACCGACCACAGGGGCAGCATGACGCTCATCTGCCGCCAGACAGGCTGGTCTTAGCATGCGAGCACCCTATTTGGCTGCACGCCAGTTAAGGAAAATTAGTGGCAACGGCTGGCCCTGGACACCCTACCCAGGAACGGTACCTCCACGTACGCGTCCGGAACCTGTACCAGCCAGCTTGGGCCCCCTTTCGAACTTTTGGATATCTTGTTATCTTTGGAACTCGATCCCAATCCCCAATCCCCATTCGAGACCGAAATCCATAGACCACGATTGACCCACGACAACCCACTCGGCGCCTCGATTCCCATCGCACCACTTCGCTTCCACGGGGCCATGCTTCGTTAGCTCAGCTCCGGCCTTTCTTCTCTCATCTCTCGTCTTGGACACTAGCAAGCTCGCAAGTAAGCAGGCAAGCAGCCCAAGGCCTGCGCCGACCGTCATCATGGCTGTTGCTCGCCCCGTCAGAGTCCTCGGGCTCGCGGCCGTCATGATGTGGTGCTTCTTCCTCTACCAGGTCTTCAAGCCAGGGTCGCCCATCCCATTGCCCTCGGGCATCCCTAAGAACGAAAAGGAGCCATTACTGGACCGTGAGTCGCTTTGCCTGAGCCTGCGCCTCCCCTGGCCGCTCCTCGCCTCCACCCTCCGTCGCGTGGTGACTCTGGTGTCTATCTGACCGACCGACTGACATGGTCGTCTCTGCAGCAACCGGCGAGCCAGCAGGTATCCTCCGTCGCGCCGGCCCTGGATACGCCCCCGATGCGAAAGAGCCCGCCCGTATAAACGCCACACTGTTGGCCCTCGTGCGAAATGAGGAATTACCCGGCATGCTACAAGCTATGAAGGACCTCGAGCGCACTTGGAACCACAAGTTCAACTATCCCTGGACCTTCTTCAACGACAAGCCCTTCACCGACGAGTTCAAGAAGCGCACGTCCGAGGTAACCAATGCAGAGACGAGATATGGTAAGCGAAGGCAGTGATGATGCCAAGCTGGCATTCTGTAGGAGCGTCGCTTACGCATTCTGTAACAGAGGTCATCCCCAAAGAGCACTGGGAAGTACCGTCCTGGATTAATATGGACCTATTCGACGAGTCCGTCAAGATCCTCGAAGAGAACGATATTCAATACGCCGGCATGATGTCCTACCACCAGATGTGTCGCTGGAACAGCGGCCTATTCTACAAGCACCCCGCGCTGGCCGACACGCGATACTACTGGCGTGTAGAACCCAAGGTGCACTTCTTCTGCGACATCGACTACGACGTGTTTGCCTACATGCAGGACAACAACAAGACGTACGGCTTCACTATCAACCTCTACGATGCCCCCGCCTCCATCCCGACCCTGTGGCCCGAGACCACAAAGTTCCTCGCCGACCACCCCGAGTACATGCACGAGAACAACGCCTTGAACTGGGTAGTCGACAAGTCTAGGCGACCGGATCACTACGACAAGGCGAACGGCTACTCGACGTGTCACTTCTGGAGCAACTTTGAGATCGGCGACATGGAGTTCTGGAGGAGCCAGGCGTACGAGGACTACTTCAACCACCTGGACAGGGCGGGCGGCTTCTTTTACGAGCGGTGGGGGGATGCACCGGTGCACAGCATCGCGCTTGGTCTGTTGGAGGACAAGAACCGGATCCACTGGTACGTTGCTCCTTTGCTTATATGTCATTTTTGGTCATGTTTCTGCGGCCGGCATCGCTAACGGTCACGTGTTGTTACACAGGTTCCGCGACATAGGATACCAGCATATTCCCTTCTTCAACTGCCCCAATTCACCAAAATGCAAGGGATGTGTGACGGGCCGCTTCACCGACGGAGAGGCGTGGCTGAACAAAGAGGACTGCCGGCCAAACTGGTTCAAGTTCGCGCACATGGACTAGACCGGCAGTGGGGGCACACGGAAAGATACCACGCCAGAGAAGGCGACAACAGGGTTATGATGATTTCAAGGGAGCGCGGGACGGAACGGGTACTTTTCTTTGGTTGTGAGCACATATATCCTTTCTTGGCAACCACAACAAGCTTCGTGGATGGATATTTGCGTTGCGTCTGTCACAGCATTTCATGGGGCAAGGAGGTGTTTGGCGCCAGGCTATCACATGGGCATTTTATGTCTGTAAAGTCGATTCCGGAGGGCACAAGGCTCATATAGAGACGGGCACACTCAGCTTGCAGCTTTGGTTGTTGACAGGAGCTGGAAGAGTGATGACTCGCTGCTGCTTGTTGGCGTTTGGTCCGCGAAAAGCCACAGTACTGTGCAGAACTTGGCCAGCCCACATCGTGTGCTCCTTCGCGTCTCTTTTTATCCCATGCCATCCATCCCGTCTCCTCTGTCCAGCACCAACCGCCCTGCTAGGCCCGCCCAGCAGCGGGCACCCCCTCCACAGCGTGTCTTCTCAGTCATTCATCCGAGCTTTTAGATGCAACTGTGCTTCGCCAATCAGCGGCCTCAAATTCTAAGATTGTAATTGATCAACATGCTCAATCCCAGCTCGCCCCTAGATCCACAACCAACGGATGTTCAACTAACCGACGCTCTATTACGACAAGACAGCACCATCACCCGTTTGGCGAGCTACCACGTTGGGCACGAGTCCAGCCGACGTAATTCCTAGCGGGGCGAACAGCACCGTCGGTTTCGACTTTGGCGAGACGTTGAAAATGGTGTTTATTAACGAAGCATGATCCTCTTCCTCCCCCCTTTCCCTACTATCCTACCTGAACTCGAGTGGCGTCCTCCATTGATTGACATACAGCATTAGAACCATGGCCGCCTACGATCTTGTCGAGCTCGTGCAGCGGCCGGCGGTGCTCACGCCGGCCCTCGTCGCCGTCGCCTACATCATCTACCGGCTCTTCCTGCAGCCGTCCAGGCTGCCCGACCTCCCCGTGCTCAATGCCAGGAAGGGCGAGTGGTTCTCCCACTACAGGGCGATGTGGCGGAACACCAAGGACTTCAAGGCGGCGTGTGTGCTGGCCCGCACCCAGTACCGCGACCAGCCGTGCATCGTGCCCCTCCTGGGCAGCCGCCCCATGGTCCTGCTCCCGGCCAAGAACACCAAGTTCATCGTCGACAACCCCGAGAACGTCCTGAGCCTGCACGAGTCGGCCATGGACAGCCTGCAGTCCGACTATACCATGGGGGAGCGGCTGATCCGCGAGCCCGTCCACCACCCGCTCATCGTCACGACCCTCACGAACCAGACCGGCAACCTGATCCCCGACCTGGCCGAGGAGACGGAGAACAGCCTCGACGAGCTCTGGGGCACCGGCGCGGGCGAGTGGCGCGAGGTGTGCGTCTACACCTCGCTGCAGAAGTCCATCGGCCGCGTGACGAACCGCATCTTCGTCGGCAAGCCCGTGTGCCGCGACCCGGAGCTGCTGAAGCAGGGCATCGCGCTCGCCATGGACATCCCGCTGGGCTCGCAGCTGCTGCGCCTCTTCCCGGAGTTCGTCAGGCCGCTGGCGGCCGCCGTGATCATGATCCCCAACAGGCTGCACCAGCGGGCCTTTTTCAAGGTCCTCAGGCCGACCATCGAGCAGCGCCTGCGCGAGTACGACGAGCGCCACCGGGACCCGGAGAAGAACAAGGCGCTCGGGCCGGAGCCCAACGACTTCCTGCAGTGGCTGATCAACCAGGCCAAGGAGATGGGGGACCCGTACCACATGAAGCCGTCGACGCTGGCGCTGCGCGTGCAGGTTCTCAACTTCGCCTCGATCCACACCTCGTCCTTCGCCATCACCGGAGCAATCCTGGACCTGGTCGCATCCAGCAAGGAGGTCATCGACGAGCTGCGCGACGAGATCCGCACCGTGCTGGCCGCCCACGGCGGCAAGTGGAACAAGCGCGCCCTCGCGCAGATGGAGAAGCTCGACTCGTGCTTCCGCGAGTCCCAGCGCGTCAACTCGTTCGTCACCGTGGGCCTCGGCCGCCGCGTCGTCGCAAAGGGCGGCATCACCACCCCTGAAGGGCTACACATCCCCCGCGGCAACCAGGTCTGCGTCCCCGGGTATGCGATGCACCACGATCCGGAAGTTTATGAGGCTCCGGACGAGTTCCGGCCCTTCCGGTTCTCCGACATGCGCAGGGCCGCCGAGGGCAATGGTGCTACTGCCGCCACCGCCGAGGATAAGGAGGCCGCCCAGGCGTCGTACCTGTCGCGCGCACGCAAGCAGTGGGCCACCACCACGACCGACTTCCTCGGCTTCGGCCACGGGAGGGGCGCCTGCCCGGGCAGGTTCTTCGCGGCGGCCGAGCTGAAGCTCATGCTGGCGCACCTCATCCTCAACTATGACTTTGAGGTCATGGAGAAGCGGCCGCGGAACATGTGGTTCGCGCTCAACCGTGTCCCGCCGATGGAGCAAACGATCCGCGTCAAGAGGCGGGCGGCGTAGTTTCTGGACGTGTGAGCGATGTCAAATTGTGTAAATGCACCACTTGTAGTTATCTTCCGTAATGATATTATTCTAGGGCGGGGTATATCCGTCAATCACACCTCACTCGTGCTTGTGCCCCGTGCTTCTTACTGCTTACGCCAAAGGGCATTGCTTTGTCTGCTCCTGGGCCACCCGTCGCCCGCCTCAGGCCGGGCCAAACACCGTCACGGCCCCTGACGTCCCACCGGCGCAGAACTGGTCTCCGAACCCGGACTCCCTCCACGCCAGGCAGCTGACAGCGTATTTCCGCTCCTTGGGCTTCCCGTCCCGGCCGACAACCTTCTTGAGCCGCTCCGTTCCCCCCGGGCCCCACGGGACAGGCATCCTCGCGGCGAGCTTCCCCGTCATGAGATCCCACGCCCATATCCTGCCGCCGTCGCCCGTGGCGTGGCCGTCCGCGCCGCCAGTCATCTCGTCCCCGGCGACGACGAACCTCTCCCCGCCGCCCAGCACGCTTTGCACCCTAAAGTCCGCGTTCCTCCACCCCTCCTGCTGACCGCCCCCTTCCTTGTCCCCGACGCCCCCGCCGTACGTCCGCAGGCACGACCCGCTCTCCCGGTCCATAAGCCTGATCCTGCTGTCCAGGCTCCCCACCAGCACCGCCTTGCCGTCGCGCGTGAGGCACAGGCTCGTGACGCTAGCACCGACCACGTCGGCCGCGACCTTGCCCGCGCGGACGTCGTAGCTCCGCACCCGCCCGTCGACCGACCCCGCGACGATCTCGGCGCCGCGGACCACGACGGAAGAAATCGCATCCGCGGCGTCGTCCAGCACCTGCACGGGCCTCGCGCCGCCGCCGCTGCCGCCGCCGCCCGAGCGCGTGTCCCACACCCGCACGCTGGTGTCGAACCCGCCCGACACGACGAGCGAGTCGTCGGCGCCGCCCACCGCGACGCAGTTGACGCGGCCCACGTGGCCCTCGGTGGCGTGCGCGAAGCGCCGCACCGTCTGGGCGGTGGCGACGTCCCACAGGAAGACGGTGCGGTCGCCGCCGGCCGAGGCGAAGCGGGCGTTGTCCGAGGCCACGGCCAGCGAGAGGACCTCGTGCGAGTGCGCCTGGTAGCTCTGGATCAGGCGGCCCTCGGGGAGGGATTCTTGCGTCTGCTGCTGCTTCTGCTGTTGCTGTTTGGTGATGTACGAGTTGGCCGGGTGGATGGCCGTGCTGGGCGAGGGGTTGTACAGCCTGATGGAGCGGTCGGCGCTGCCGGCTAGGATGTAGGTGCCCGGGCTGGCTGAGTAGGCTAGGGCGTGGATCGGGCCTGTTACTGTACGTTAAATCTGTGTTCCTTTCTGTCCAAGAGCAGCACTCATCCGAAAGGTGTTGAGATTGCGATGACCCGCAAGGCGAGTAGAGCGAGATGCACTCACCATTTGCGCCCGTGAGAAACGCTACAGGCTTGTATGGGAACGCCATTTCATAAGGATGACCAGATTCTCCATGACCTCGCAACGTCTGATCAGATCATGTACTGGGATCTTGTGTGGGTGGCCATGGTCTGTCCGTATGAGGCAAGAACGAAGCCTGGTGAGCGAGGTCTCGAGGTGAGAGATGAACATGGGCAGCCACCAGTCGGGTATGGCCAATTCTGCTTACGTAAGTCATCTGCACGGTAAATTGCCTGTTGAACTGTGATGGAGGCAACCACTATTGATTGCAGTCGGTGAGTCTGACATCGGATCAACACAAGTACACACAAGAAATACATTTCATCAGAGACTGCTTTGGAATCTTCACAGATCACCCAAAGTGGAACGTGTCATGGTCATGAGTCTCTCTCCATTCTTCTAGTTGTTCGTCTTCCGCCGCCTCTCAAAAAAGCCTACTTTGTTTGGCACGCCCCCTCACGATGCGCTTCTGCTTCTCCCTCGCCTGAGCCTCTCTACCTCTCGTCTCGCTCTCTCGCCTTATTGTACAGGGTATTGCTTATAATACAGAACAGGCAGGTGCTTTCACAGACCGCCATGAATTGTTGCTTTAGACACGAAAAGAAGAAGAGAAAGAAAATGGTGATCGGATGCCAACGTAAACGGTTTGTTTCATGCTGATGTTTCCATGCGTGCCTCCCTCCCTGGTCCCGTTTGAAGGTAATGAACAAGCCAGATAACGCCGGTGCATGCATCAAAGTCGTAACGGACGCTGTGGAAATAGCCCGCGGAAACCCCCGAAAACAGCGATCGGGGATGGTGAAAAAGAGGAACCTGTCGTCCAAAACACCACCGGATTTGTCGCTTCCTATGCACAGTGCACAGAGGTCGGTCTGTTGGCAGCCTCGTCCGGCCAGCGGAACCGACGTCAGGAGAACCACCACGCGTGTTTCTCCTTTCCATGGCCCGCCGACTTGCACTGTCGCTGCCTCGCCACGCCGGTTTCTGAATTGCGGTCGCGCGAACGCCAATCCAACCGGCTCTCCTGGGTTTAGGCCTTTATCTCAACACCAGGGGCCATTCATGATCACGACCTGATCGTTGCAGCCTCGACACCCAAGGTCCGCCCATTCCACAAAGGCAGGAACCTCGACTGCCTCGTGACCTCAAGTTCGGTTATGTGGTCGACGCAGGGTCGTGGCCGTGGCCGTCACGCTTATGCTCGCTCAAGGTCCTCGGGTGTTCGCTCGTGGCCGGCGGCTATACACGAGCGTCATGTCTTCTGACCAAAGCCACATCTGTGAGCCGGACTATTCCAGGACCCCTCAAACGTATGAACAGGCCGAGGGTCCAGAAAGAACTCACGGGTCCGCCTGCCAAGGCTGCCGCAGCATGTCCTCGTGGATGCGAGGCAGCGGGAGCTGGCCCGCGGGGCGCTCCTGCGGCGGGTGCTGGTGCTGCGGCGGGTGCTGCCACGATAGGGCCCGCATCGCGAAGTCCCTGCTGCCGCTCATCTCCGCCGGCGAGTACGACGTATCGTACGAGTACCTCGGCCGCTTGGGCGGGACTTCCAGCGATAGCGCTGGGGGTCCCGTCGTGCGAGGGGAGACGGAAGGGGAGCGCCTCGAAGGCCGCGGCAGCTCGAACGGCATCCGGCCCTGCCGAGGCGGGGACACCTCCCGTTCCGTCATCAGAGGCGTCGATGGAGATGTGTTGTGGCCTCCACCTCGGGGACTACATCGTATGCACTGTCAGTTACGGGTCTCTTCCATACGCGAGCAGAGGGTGTGAAAGATATGAAAGAGGGGAGTGGGGAGGGGGGAGGGGGGGACTAACGCATTCTTGAACTTGCAGATCCTCCCAAACTTCTCGCACTGGACGCATCGTGGGTAGTCCGGGTCACACTTGATCTTCTTCTCCCTGCACGTCACACACGCGATCGCCAGCCTCTTGCGTGGCTTGCCCGCCTTGGTGACGCCCCAGTGCGCGTTGACAGCCTCGCCATCGATCACCGTCTTGCAGTGGCTCCCGTCGTCATAAAAATAGCACAGTCCCTCGCCCGGCAGCTCTGCCGCCCGCACGAACCTCGGCAGGAAGTGGGTTCCCGTCCAGATCTTGGGGCCCAGCCCGTCCTTGGTGGGGATCGTCTCGGCCGCCACTGGCGTCGACGGCTGACTCGGGTGCTGCGAGTACGGCTGCTGCTGCTGCTGCTGGTACCGGTGCTGTGACGAGGCCGACGATGCTGACCTCGGGTCATGATAGCTGCTGGGGTGGCCTTCGTAGTCGTGCTTCTGCCCCGCCAGGTGGGGGGTCCTGGAATACCTGCTTAAGTGGTCACGCGGGCTGAAGGAGTACTCGCTGCTGCCGCGGCTGTAGTCCTGGTGGGAGGCCCATCTACTGCTGCTGGACTCGGGCCGATGGTGGCTCTCCAGATCCCGATAGCCGGGAGACAATGGGCCCGGGAAAGCCGATCGTACGCTGCTCGAGAAGGACGGTGTTGTCCTGTCGTACACTTTCGGCTCGTACACAGTCCTCGACTGGTGGTGCTGGGAAGTGGATGACCCAGGTGTCGTCGGCGGGAAGTAAGAGGAAGAAGAACCTGATCGCTCGAGGTAGCCTCCGGCACTCCGGGGGTGGTCAAGGGGGGACGTGGCCGGATATGACGGTGGTCGCTCCGAGAGCGGCGAGAGTTGAGGTCGTAATGCTGAAGGGAACAGGCTGCTGAGGGATGGTAGTTGTTGCCGCTGGTCGTTGCTCGATGCACTGGGCGGCAGAGTCCTCGTCTCCGTCCTGGACTGCTCATCGTCCGAACCTTTCCTGCTCATGTCGCCGGTGTCGGTCGGGTGTTGTGGTCGATCATAATTGGACATTGGTGAGAGGGGTCCGTTCGACCGCGATCTCCAGGCCAAGCGGCCTTCTGAAGGTACGGTTGAGTACGTCGAAGAGCTCGGGCTCACCAGTTCAGGAGGAGTATCTGGGAGGGAAACTGGCGCCGCACGATGCTGCTGGGGTTCAAGAGGAGACAACATCCCCATTGGCGAGGAGAGGGCTAGGAATGTTGTGGTTCTGGGTACGGTTTCTCTGGATGCTGTTCTTTGCACGGCCTGAGCAAGATCCGGGGCTCTAGGTTCGACTGATATGCTCCGGCTGCCTAGTTGCAAGCCACGCCCACTCGAGATGTTATACGATCGGTGGTCGCGGCGGGACAGGAGCGAGCAGTCCGCCGGGTAAATAAGGTCAGCCTCTGTCAGTCTCCTTAGCGGCGCAGCAGGGCGCACGCTCTCTCGCACACAGGCACACCACTCAGTCGAGTGGGAACGGAAGCAAGCTCAGAGCACCCCCCGAGACCTTCTTCATCAGGAGCAAGGTGGATAGATAGCTGGCAGTGAATTGGGCCAAGAGGCAGCTTTCTCGTGGTGGTGCTCTGGTTTTCCTTGTTGGTCGAGGGCCTATAGGCAAGATATAGGTGGTACGGTCCCGGTATTCTGGTCGGGCTTGTGGGAAGGAGGGTGGCAGAGCCCGGATGTTGACTAGATGGCGCAAGATAGTGGTGTGGCTTGGAGAACGGGCGAGTATTGGTTATTGTATGCCACCGGCCGAGCCGCAGAGGGACAAGACTTCTCGCCCGGTCTAATAAGTTGGAAGTCTGGGGGACAGGGCTCTGGGGTTGGCACGAGGCACCGGTGACCTGGGTACTTGAGAGGGCCGGCGCTACGTGCCGAGAGGAGTATTAAACAGGGTTCACGGCTTATGTGGGCTCTGGCTTACACGGGTACATGCCAAAATCCTGGTTGTGGGTACGGAAGGGGCACGGATCGAAGACGACTACCGAACATTCAACGTGCTCGGCAGGGCCCAGCGCCCAGGGAAGATTACAGTTGAGTCTGTGTGGTCTGCCCAATGCGGTGGTCGAAACCGCACAGTCGACGATACACTTTGGGCAGCACTCAGCATTGTTTGAGGCGGCCCTGCTTTGTGCTTCTCCACACGTAGGTTGGGCGGCTCTGCTTTTCTCTGGTGCCGAACATCTCATAAGATTAGGTTGGATGGATCGAGAGTGATGCTGCCCACCGCGCCACTGCGGTCTCCATTACGGTAAGGCGAGTGATCTCCCCCTACATGGTTGACGAGGGGTGTAGCGGATGTTTTGGGAGCAGGCTCCTCTTGGCGGCTGGCAGTGACTGGTAAAAAAAAAGTGCCCTGCAGGGAAAGCTGTGCGGAATCCATCGCGCAGAGGGGTCGCAGGGGAGATTGCAAGGACAGGGTGCAGAGTCGAGGGGGGTGGCAGAAGCAGGGGCAAAGTAAATCTGGATGTACCCGTGCTGCTGGGCTTGGGAGGAGCCGAGTGAGAAGGAGAGGCGCCACGCCGCGATGGGGGCCGCGGACAGTCGAGTCGGGGCTGGTGAGATGACAGAAGAGAGGAGGATGCCGGGTCGAGGTTCCAGACTCTGACATGAGCAGATTCGCCGTCCAAAAACGGCAACAAGCCCTCAGGGGGTCACGACGGGACGGCCCAACATCGTCGACATTGCCAAGGGTTGCAGTTGGGAGGGGCGAACCGCAGCATGGCAAGCGCATCTGAAAATTCGATGCAGCGACGTAGTATCTCCCATTCCGGGACCCGGGGGCGGCACCTCGTAAACGCCCCACCAGGGCTTTGGGGTGCACAATTCCATTTTGACTATGCATCTTCTTTTGTGGAGGACAAGGCGCACAATAAGATTCGAGCCTTGTCACAGACAGGAAGGAGGTGCGGGCCTCAGCCGGGGCGCGGTCCCCACAGCGGCTTAAGTCGTGCGGCCGGCGCCCAGGAACAGACAGGGGCAATCCATCACCTGTCTGCCTTTGGCGTCATGGCTTGACAACGGCGTTGGCACTGCTCATCAATGTCAGTGCCATTTGCCATTTTGCTCCCACCGTTGCGCCCCGGTTTTTGGGGCCTTGAACCGCCGATCCAAAATGGCAATTGGCGCGGGTGGCTTGAGAATTTCCACGGTCGTCCAGAGATTGCCAACGTGCGTCCATCGTGCTGGCGGCTGGACCCATCTACCAGCGCCTAGCAAGCCCCCCCGACGAGAGCCGGTCTTTGGTGTTGAGGAGCGCTGCCAAGGCCGCGTAGACGAGAGCTTCAGGGATCAGAATCCGTCCTGCCTACTGCGATAGTCTGCAGGTAATCAGATCCATTCCACATGATCTGATCATCTCAACTTGGAAGCTAGGACGAGGGCTGGAGGAGGCTATCCGAAGTTTCCGAGGTACTCACTGCCACTGGTCCGGAATAAACTTAAAACGTGTCCTCCTTTTTGTTCTTTCTCCCACAGTCCAGTCCAGATCGTCAGGGCTCATCTGCGGCGCATAATGGAAGGAAATAAATAGCTGGATTGGGCAACGTGTCCTCTGGCGGCAAAAATGTGCAAGCGTGCGCCGAGCTTCGGCCCAAGCCAGCCGTCCAAAGAAGTCAAGCTGTCAAAGCTAGTCTGCAGCAGGCCGTGTTGAAGGACGGGCTCTACAGCGTGTGCGGCCTGGGTCGGCGGTCGCATCACCGCGGGAGCAATGACATTACCGCGGTGCTACTATCCACCAGCAACAGTGGGTGCGTGTGGCCCAAGTGGGATGAGATGAGATGGATGGGTTCCCGCCTGGACGCCCACCGGGGCCGTAGGGCCTCAGATCTCTCTACGTACCTTAATCTTGCCCGCCCGTCTAAGTTTTTGTGCAATGACGTTGCTGTCGACGACGATCAGCACTCTGATGTGTGTCGCGCCCCTCAAAACAGCCCACCAGCCCAAGCAGCCCACGCCTAGGCTGTCTCCCACACCTCCGTTGCAGTAGTGATCTTGAGGGCGCACTAGTCTTCTTAGCGATAACCGGCATTGGTATGTGATGTAAAACTACCGTGCTACTCGCGCCACAATCCGGAAGTGGAACAGTCGAGGTTGATTGATTGCAGGGACAATGGGCAAGTATGTGGATCGAGGAAGAAGAGAGACGACCACAGTGCTTTACGCGGTACTACGGTGCATGTTAGGCCGCATGGTACCTGCGGATATCAAAAATGATCACTGCTGGGACTTGGGTGGTGGTGGGGGTTGTCGTGCACGCCTTCTCGAGTCCCGGACGCACAGTGATCGTATACCTAGTACTCTGCAATATAGTACTTCGGTACAGATCCACCCCTGGCCCACTCACTTCGGACGTATTCAGTACGAACATCTCGACAAATGGGATGAAGGCGGGGATGCGGTACCGTCGAAGCGGAGATGTGTGTCAGGTCTCCCGCCACCATCCTTTCGTGGACTACCGTGCCGTGATCGTGGTGCTGGTTCAGCCTCTGCAACTTGCAGATGGTGCGATGAAACTCTACGAGCAAGTTTGCCATATCTGCCGTGTGAAATGGCACATTAGCGGCGCTATCGAGTCGACGAGTCCAAAGTCAAATGGGCAACATGCGGCAGTCAAGGACCCGAGACTCTGGTTGAGATCGAGAGGGGAAGGTCCCAAGAGCCGGAGGGACCTGTTTTCCTCCGCAGGATGAAGGAGGGTCTCCAGAAGCGCGGCACTAGCCGGCGTAGATATCAGTCCATGGTCCGCGTAAGGCGTTGCGAATGCGATGGCGTCTTCGTAGCCTTCCCCCCCTCTTGCGTTAGTGGCCCTGTCCATGATCCGCCGAGTGCCCTGCGCACCGTAAGTGGCTACAAGGGATGACAGCCATCATCCTCCGCCATGAGAATGATTGATGAGGTGCAAGCCCCCTTCCCGCAAGTGCACATGCAGACATGCCGCTCGGAACGGTAGATGAGACGTGGTGAGCACCTGTTGAAGATGGTGGCTGACACTTTGGTCGGGTCATGACCGTTCATTGTCCATAGACTAGCTCTGTGCAGGCCCCCGTGAGGATCTGTGGGCCTGGCCTGGCCTGCTGGGGTGTGATTGACGAGGGCCGGAAGAACCTTGCGTGGCGCTGCAATAACACAGGCTATTAAGACGAGGCTCGGCATGTCGTCGTTAGCTCGATCCAACGCCCTGGGTCGGAGCTGGCAAGCCGGGATGAGACGCCTTGATGTCAGTTGTCTCCCGGGCACCCCTTTTTTTTCACAGCCACTAGGCCTAAACAGGCAAATTCCTTCCACTAGACACATGGATAGCGATCCACTCGAAGGCGTACCCCACCAGCCCTAGAGCAACATGGGTTGGCTTGGCTCATATGACAAGGTGAACAAGCCACAATCTCGAGCATGCCGGTAGCAAACTCTTGAGATAGGACGCCGGAGCGGGGCCGGTGACGGCTCAGGTGTGTCGTGCCGCCGGCCTGCTGGAGCGCTGTGTCAGGTCACGGTACTTGAAATTTGCTTCTGGGCTGTTTCCATTGTTGCTCCCCCGATCGTCTGCAATACCGACCCGTTGTGCCGCCAGGAAATCTTGACATGCCGCCTGCAAGGATCACCATGTTGAGCCAAACCGGACTCTTGTCCCGATGGGTACGCATTTCGCGGATGTGCAGCCACAACGGAAACCCGAGTTCAGCAGAGAGTTCAGCACTCTGTAATGTGCGTGCATGTTACTCTACACGTGTCCCTGCGGACGCCGACTGTAAAGTTTGTTTCCTTGTTGGCCTTGAAGCATCTGACCAACCTAGTTTTAAGGCCGGGAAATCCCACAAACGTGGAAGCAACGTGAGGTCGCACATCTGCAGCTTGTCCACAGCTGACTACCGTCTTGCCGTTTCCCATTCCCGCAGTGGCTGGCTGGTATGCTTGCTTTTTCTGGGCTCCCTCCGCTGCCAACACACACTCACACCCGGCTCGTGTTGTCAGTCTCGTAGCGTTGCAATAAGCTGCCGCATGAGTGAGACGATAATTCGATAGCTTGA